CCCAGTTCTCTTTACACTGCCCTGAAATATGATTACAAAAACCCACGGGTAGCGCTGCTTTTTCATTAAGTCACAACAAAAACTGCCTTTCAAAATGTCTGTCTCATAGAAAAACGTTATTACTGAAGCTTTAGTTTAGCTTTTTCTGCTTTGATAAAGTGCAGAATTTCTTATACTTTCCCTTCTACTAACTTCTTTTTAAAAACCTCTTGAACTCAAAGCCAAAAATTTTAGGAGAAAATTTCAGATGAATGAAACGCTGCCTGAAAAGAGACAGATTGTGAAGGCACTAAGTCCCTGGCTGAGGCTCAATTCCCACAGTTTCTCTGACAGGGACCAGCACCAGAGTTTGTATATTAAAAGTTTGTTGAGAAACAACAGTGAGTCAACAGACGGATAATGAAAAAAAGGGAGACAGAGGGACTCAGAATGGGGCCTGGACAAGATAACTGTTCTGTAAGTAATGCTATCAGAGCTATTTAAAGTTATCTGGTAGTTTCTTCATAAATGTACATTTAATATAGTTTCTGTGGCGCTTTTACTGCATGATAACTGGTGCCATGTTATTACCTTTAGACGCAAATATCTTGCATCTAAGTGACGAAACGGTTCTCCCACTGAAACGCTACGTCCAGATGAAAAGAATCAACCTTTTGGGATTTGGATGCACATAAACACGCAGACTTTAAGTTATCCTAAAGGCAGAATCATGTTAAATACCTTCATTTTCCTAAATAACCCTCACCTGTACATACATAGTTAAACATTACAGAGGTAACACGTGTGACTTGTCAATCTTCAAATTTAGTAACAAGCCGTATCGAGTTTTCGCTGCAAACGCACGGAGCTCAAAACAAACACAGCTGCTATTGAAGCCACGATAAACAAAGACACATAATGCATTTCTTCTCTAAGACAGTCCTGTTATGTATTTTTGTGATTTAATTCATCACATTCAAGTTGGCTGTGATCTAGGAGCACAGATATGCCTGACTTGAAAAATTAATGATTTGTCCATAAGTTACAGACACACTGTAGGCCTATGTACAGTACGTCTAGCATAAAGCGCCCTCGTTGGCCAGTCACCACTCCTCTGAAACCAGTACTGAGATCTCCCGCAGCTACCACAGCCCTGCACAACGGGAGAAATGACAAGGGAGGTGTGAATTAAAGGGTCAGGGGGTCATATGGGGGCGTGTAAGTCCAGAGAATGGCAACCAATCCTGAGTTAGCGGGAGTCAGCTAAAATACGCACCACTGAAGGCACTTTTTTAAACAACAGTGCTTCTGTTCTAAGTAATTCAAGTTCAAGAAAGAATAAACCGAGGCCCTTCGTGCAGGAAGGACTTTCATATCGATGTTCTTGTTCTCCTTTTCTTATCCTTTGTTTGCTTCAGACAAAGCAAGCAGCTCGAACCTAAAGCTTCTTCAGAGAGTCGGGCGGGGGCTGACAGCGAGGGAAAAGCGATGACCCTCGGGAATAGGGAACAGCTTGAATCGAAGAGGGGTGAGGATATAAAAAAATAAATAAAAATAAAAGGCTACACAAACATAGGTAAAAAAATGAAAATCTGACAAGAGGAACTTAAACCTAAATCTAGCATATAACATTCAAATGGAACAAAAGCACAACAGTTTGAAAATTAATGAGAAGTCTGAAAAATCAGAGCTTCCATTTCAGTCACAGACAGGCTTAGAGCAGGAGACGGTTGAGAAGAGCACCCGAAACTGACTCATGGCGCTGGTCCTCTGTGGTGGGCAATTTGATTGGTTGGTTGGTCAGTCCGTTGGTCAGTGTGAACATGTCCTTGTTATCTTGTGTTCAATAAGGATGTAATAGCCCCTTGTTTTAGGGGTCAGAGCATGGCAGGCCAGCTGACGGGACAAGGATGTGTGTTTGCGTGTGTGTGTATGTGTGTACGCGTGCGACTGGGCAAATTTAATCATCATCCCCTCCTCCGTACATGTCAGCCAGCTTCTTAAATCGGGGGCCCCAGTCATTGAGGTAGTCATAGTCCTGGTCTCCTGTGCTGGAGGAGTTGAGGGAGCTGACAGAGCCAGCGGTGGAGCCGCTACCCTCGTAGTCAAACACCAGCAAGGAGTCGTATGGAGGAGCCGTAGGATCGTTGTCTGCTGCTCTCAGTCCCTGAAGAAGACGGGAAAGCAGAGAAGTCAGCTGTTAAACTGTTGCACTATTTTATGTGATTTGTATGTTGAGCAATATTCCTCAAAGCCATTAAACTCAGCGTTGCATCAAACTGACATTTAATGTAAATCATGCCCTCATTTATAGCATATTTGTGTATATACTGTAGCATTGCATAATTAAATAATGTCAGCTTGTTCAAGGTGCTGTGAATCGTACCTGTTGTATACATGGGGGTCTTTAATGTACCCATACTTAACATTGTACAAAATCATCATCAAACATTACAGAAATTGATGCATTCATATAGTTTTTATACCTCTACATGTACATGTGAAGCTAATAGAAGAACCTGATTGCTGCAGGTTTTACCTAAAAGCAGCTGGGTAGCATTGTGGTAGTGTCACCTTTGAAGCAGCAGAACAGAGTTCCCAGACACTGTGCGGATAAACAGTCAGATGCTGGGAAACCCGAACATGAATGGATGGAGTTATCAGAAGCCAAGATGACAGACATACAGGAAAGCTCCACCAGAGGGCAAGAAAGCAGAAAAGCCATCAACATGTGTGCCCTCCCAGTCATCAGAAATGTAGTACATAGGAGGCACGATCCAAGATGAAACACAACACAGAGGCTGTGATAATGGCAGCACAAGCACCAGATTCATACACAGGACCAAAGGTGCAGAGATGCCTCTGGCAAAGTCCTGCACATTAGTGCAAGCTCAGCCAGTTTAAAGGACCATCTTTGCTGCACACTGATTAGATACACTGAGGACGGCAGAGGTAATACCCTCCAAAGCTTAACTTGGTGAAGAACAACCGGATTCTAAATAACAAATCAGCAGAACAGAGTCAGAGGGAAGCTGTGATAGATATGGCAACCAAAGCTGAGAGTTAAGTCTTAGAGCATCCACAACATATATGCTAATAGACCAGTTTGACCTTTGTTTTGCATTGTTCTGTTTGGTTTAGGATCTTCTAAATCATAGTGCATAGAAAACCACAATAAAAATGTATTCTTAAAGATTATGTTCAGAAAAAAGGCACAAGAAGTGAAAAGATCTTAAAGAATTACTAGTTATTTTTAGAGGTATGTATCATAGCAAGCTAATTTAACAACAACAAAACAACCTTTACAGGATCCACAGAAAGCTTTTGGTAAATATCACTGGTTGTAGAAAGTGCTGCATCCTAAAGGACTTATCTCACCCTGCTCATCAGCTGTTTGAATGTCTGCCCTCAGGCAAACGCACTAGCACGCACTACATGATTAAGAAACAGGTTTGTTTGTTTTTTTCAAATCCCAGAACCACCATCTCACTGAACTCTGCTCTGAAATCACACACCATAAATCAGTAACAGACCAATTCAATCAGCACCTGCTGCAATACTATTTATTATCTACTATTTATACACAATCTTCTTAGACAAGTGCAGTATCTTTATAAAACTACTGTGGCCACTTTTGACTCTTTTAAAAATATCTGATAATCTGGAACTGTGTTTGTATCTTTAACATACCTAATAAGTTCAATTTCTAGGTAGTGTGCAGAGTTGTTGTGGTTTTTTTCTTCTTCTACATAGTGACGATATAGAAATTGCAAGTGTATATGGTTGGTGTGGAACTTTGCTTCTCAATAACAGGCCAAAAGTTACTGAGCCTCAGCCACAACATTATCAATATTAACAATGACAGGTGAACAAGCGAAGTTTCTCATGCCCTTACGTGTCATACTGTTTACACAGCACAATTGGCACCTACACAACCTCATTGTGTAGGTGCCAATGATTGATCCGTGAATACAAATACAAAACTCAGGAGCTCTTTGTTTCAATGTGCGATCATCCCTTTTCATCAATACTTTGACACAGTTTCATAAATAAGATATGACGGGGTCTTCATGTTATCGTGCAAGGCTCGATTCTTTGCTCGCTTCCAAGAATGATAAATTGGGGCCATCGACCTGAAGGTTAGCTAGGTGAAAAGAATGGACTTCATCCTTTTCAGTCACATAATGAGAGATACTATGGATAGAAACCTAAAAAGCTTCAATCGGTCTGGGCACAGTGCATGGCAATATCACCATGTGTTTGCTGTGTTTGTGTTTAACCAGACTGCTGAAGCGAGCTCAGGTGAGTGCATGTGTGAAAGAGAGAGAGTGAGAGAGAGTCAAGGCTGGATGGATCAAAGCTGAACAGCTGCCAACACCTCTCGAGTGTGAACGTGTTGTCACAAGTCTGTCAATCAGCATTTTCTCGCATCAGTGTTCCAACGCTGGAGTTGTGTGAGTGGACAGTGCTCATTTGTATGTGTGTGTGCGTAAATTAACCCGGCACGGTGAGAGGAGCTGTAACATAAAGCAAAACTTGTCGTTCCCATCACCCTGGTAGAGTTCTACGTTTTGAACAACATTCAGAATAAGTAATCACGTTAGGTGTCAGATTGACGGAAAGTAAAAGTGAGTGGTCCATCTGATAGCGGGAACAAACAATCTAGTAACAGTGGAGCCATTGTGCATGCAAAAGATAATGTGTGCTTATAAATCTACCTCATGGATGAAGTCTCCGATGTCTCCGGGGTGGGGAACAACAGGTCTGATCGGATACTGGGACTCTGGGATGATCGGACGCTCATCCACCCTGCGGACACCAGGCGGCTTGCTGATGATGTGCTCCAAGGAGTCGGGCTGCTGCAGCTGGCTTAAGTCATAGTCCTGCAGAGAAATCTAAGTAAGGTACAGTCTGAAACAGAACGCGTATTTGTGTATTTGAGCAAGTGCGTCTCTCAGGATCTCACCTGGTCCTCTTCTCCTCCTCCCTCTTCATCATACTTGAGGATGTTGTCCCTGACATCATCTTCAGGGTCAATGAGCAGTTGCTTTGTCTGCCTCTCCTTCTCTCTGCGCTTGATCCACACCACAAACAACAGCACCATGCCTGCAATGATACACACATGAATGTGAAAAAACCCTATGGTATGTTGCAACAACCTCTAAAAAACAAACTAAAAGCAGACAATCAGATAAGTACGTAGTAAGGTTGCATATAAGCACAGAGTGCAGATGCTAAACATGTATAGCATTTAATACGTTTAGCACGTTTGTGTCGGACTTGGCAACATTTAATTAAATGTCGGTTTTACTAATGCATCCTGAGGAAGCTGTTCGCCATTCGTCCTGAGGGATAAAAGACCGTCAAGAATAAACAACCTAAGTTTATGTTAACATGACAAACTGCAAAGTACAATGACATAGCTATGCCAGCACAAAACCACTTAGGGAGCCGGTTGGTGGATGAATGGGCCCAGCAGGCAGATGGCTGCTACTCATAATTTATTTCCTCCAAACAGTCCCTTTAACCACAGACACTATGACCTTTCCCTACTTAATCATACGGTTAACGTTTCAGTAATATGAATCATGACGAACAATTTTTCTTTGTTATTGCGTTTCATTTTTTATCCTTAAGTTTTTATTATCTTTGTAGTCTTATCTATCTATTTATATATTTATGGTTATTTCTGTGTGATCTTGTGCTTGTATATGTCATCACTGCAAAAGCTTGGTGTGCTGTACTTGAGTAAATAACAAGAAAACAGATTCAATTAGAATTCTGGGTTAATAGGAGTTATAAGATAATAGAAGACTCTAAATAATCGAAACTTTTAAAACATTTGAAATGATCTATTGGGATGCCATACACAGTGTGAACACAGCAGCAACAAAGTAAGGCAAGACTGATAGTAGCATTTTTTCTCTACCAGGAAAAGAACACAAAAACATCTCATCCAGAGATGCTGGAGAAGATTCAAGCACTCCAGGCATTTATCTATTATACAAACTGGTGCTGATGTTATTGTATTGTTAAATATTTTATGTCTGTGCCATGTACTACACTTTTTTGAGGAATCTAATCACAGACAACTTTTCTACAGCAAATGTGTGGGTACGTGATATGTTTGAGAGCATCGCTGAATGAATAGCAAAAACTCACTGAGTAGTATGATAATGCAGATGAGGATGGAGATGATGGCTCCAGTTCCAAGGCCAGCAGCTGCCACGGCCCCGAGGGTGGTGCAATCTCCGTTTTCATCGCAGGGACACACCTTAACTTTGATGACTGACCTGTTGGACAATGGAGGGTTCCCGGAGTCTGACACGATTACAGGGACTTCATACACTCCAGGCTCTAAATATATTTGATACCGCAGACTCAAACGGGCAAAATCACCTGTAAAGGGAAAAGAGACATTACTAACAATCACATTTCATTTTTCAAAAGGATTATTTTTTTCCTGGGTTACAAATAGTTAAAATAACCGTATCCTCAAAAGTTGATTCTGCTCATCTGGATGTAGAGTTCTCCCACTGAAAACGTTACATCAAGATGAACAGAATCAACTTTTGGGGATTTACTTACCTGGATAATTGAGCATGCATCAAGACATAAAATAACAGTAATTTAGATGTTTTATCTACATTTAATAACAGATATTTGTAAAAAAATAAATAAATACTGCAGCCATTTAGTGAAACTTGCAAACAAAAATATAGCGTAAAAGGCAAAAAGACAAAATTCAAATGAGCATATGAATAGCAAATATTTGGTACGAACACCTTTATTCTGCAACACAGTCTGAACACTTAGGCAAGCTGTCTTGTAATTTCTTTAAGTAGTCTTCAGAAACAGTTCTGCAGACTTTCTGAAGGACACTGAAAGCTCTTCTTTATATGTTGACTATCTTTTGTTCTGTTTTCTGTCAAGATGATCCAACACTGCTTCAATAATGTTCAGGTCTGCGCTCTGGGGAGGCCATTGTGTATTTCCTTTATCCAGATATCTTTTTACTGCATTGGCAGTGTGTTTGAGATCACTGTCATGCTGAAAAATGAAGCTGTTGCCAATCAGATGCTTTTCATTCCATAAGAACCATTGCTACTAATTTTAGTCCAATTTTTGAGTAATTTGGCTTCTTGGCAGCCACCCTTCTACTGAAACCATTTCTGACGAGGCTTCAATCAAAGATGAATCAACCAAAAGGCTAGATGCATCTCTCAGGTCCTGTGTCAGGTCTTTGCTAGATCTTTTCCTATTTCTTAAGGACATGACCTATCACTTTTTCTTTTGCCGTCCTTTTGTTCAGTTTCTTCAAATTTTCTAAGGACACACTGCACAGCACGCTGGTACATGCCAAGTTTTTTGTTAAAATCTCTTTGAGAATCACCTCGTTGGTAGAAAATTACTATTTTATCCCTGTCATACTGTGCTATGTGACATTTTTCATTGGTTCAACTAAAGAAATTTGAACAAATTATATGTTTGTGTGACAGGGTGCTAGTATAAAAGTACTTAACGATGTAATAAGTATGGCTCCTTGAAAGCAAAATAAAAAGAAATGGTAAGCTACTCAAGACTTTTTCACAGTAATGTACATGAACGTGCACGTGGTTAATAAACGCGTAAGGAGATTTTTGATGCATTGTCAGAAAAGTAAAAACGAAAACGTTTTTTGAATTTTTAAAATTTGATAATTTCTCTTCAGTGGTAACACCTTACCGCTGATCCTAGAAATTGTCCAGTTACGTCGGATGGTGGTGGGAAACGTGGGCAACTCGAAGACAAAAGGTCCAGCGTTGGGGTCTGTGTCGGCATCAGCGGCAGTGATGTTGACACCGTTGATGCTCCTGTACGTCCTTTCACAGATCTGAGACTCTTTGGGTATGAGTGCTGGGGGGTTGTCATTAATATCTATCAGATAGATCTGCAGTGTGCCTGTGCCGCTGGCTGCAGGAGAGCCTTAGAGCAGAAAGAGAGAAGCAAAAAAAATAATATCACGACAGGAGGAAAACATGACAAGAGAAGATGTGTGCAGTGAAAGGGACAATTGAAGGGGAAGAGAGAGATGTCGAAGGCTGGCAGAAGTGAGGGAAATAATGAAAGAAGACGAAAAAGAGAGATACAAAAAAGGAACGAGAAGAGGTGATTGGAGCATTGTTCATTCACAATGACGATGAAAAGGTAGGAATACTGTGGAGCTGCAGGAGAATTTCTACACTTGACAGAAACACTTCTGACAGTTGTGCTTTCCAGTTCTTCTTTTAGTCTTACAGCAAAATCAAACCCATCACAGTCGATCCAGATGGCGGCACAGCGCATCCAATCTTCTGGAGCGAGTCTAGGTACAATAATGATGACTGTAACACAACTAAACAAGTCTTTGTCTATGTGTATTACACTGTTATATGATAGTCGTTTACCATTTTGGACATAAAGGCACTTTTATTTGAAATATTAACAGTACATTGCTTTAAAACAACTAATGGGACATTGTCAATGCACATTGACAGTCCTTCACTGTCACACAGAATACTTGAAATTAAACACAGTATACACGTGTGTTTATGTATTAAAAGTAAATCTCCATAGAACGTATGCAGGGAACATTTAGAATGTAAAATAAAGGTGTTGTTGCAAACTGAAAGCAGTGTTGCATCATTTTTAAAGTGAGATCAAGTTGTACTAAGAATCTAGGTGATTTTTCTTCTGTGTTGAACTCTCAATAACTGCACTAGACTGGCTCATTTACCATTTTTAGGTAGTAATCACATTATACATATAAATCCGCAGCTATTGCCTATTAGCAAGGTAACAAAATTGTGACATTAAACGCTCTAAACTTTACACCAATGTTGTTCTGACTCAGCTTTGTAAATCTGTGGAAATTGTCGAGACAACTTGGTCTGATACTGATGTAGGCATGCCATTGTAAGTGCTGCTTTAACTACAATAGTGTCAGCCTTGGAGTGCAATAACATGCACTGGTGCACACAGACACGCTCACACTTCGTCTACGGGCACAATCTAGAAGCTTCTGCATTGACCGAACACAGCAACAGACCATCAGCAACTGCATTATGGAGAACTAGGAATAAGAAATAGACACTTTAAACAATCAGGGAGGGAGATAGCTGAGCAAAGTGATGAATGCATGAATGCGTATGTGCAGCAGGAAAATGTGGCAGAGAAACATCTTAAAAAAGGGTGCTTAGCGGTATAAAGCTCAGCGTTGTTTATTGAGTGTGTGTCAGTGGGTGACGGCCCTTAGCTTTCCCCAATTAGGAGTCATTTCCCTGTCATGCCCCACTGGCCCAGTCATCACATGGAATCAAGCGACCCCAGGGCTCATCTCTGGCATGAGATAAGGGCAATGTAATTTACAAAGATTTATGCAAAGCTTACAGATCTGCCAATTAAATGTGGCAACAGAGCAAGACGTTTGCCACAAGAAGGGTGAGACACAGCTGAAGACAAGGGTCTGGAGTGAGTCTGTTATCAGTTCGAGCTCTGTTTGACTGGTAACACTATGGTTTTTCGATTGCTTCATTAATATCAAGTGATTAATAAAGACATCAAGACGTCACTGATGAATATAATACGTTTTAGTATCTAGAGACATTGGATAAGTGACCTAAAATTTTTGCCATAACTGGACAACAGGCGTAAAAGTGAAAACAATATAGATGCTCAGCTCACACACAGTACTGGGGGAAGTGCCTTAAACATGCATTCTATCTGAAGGCCACTATAAACACATTCCTACTGAGTTTAAGGGCTCTGTTACTAATTTTGGGTAACGATGACTAAAAAACAAGTGTATTTTGTACATCTTGGTGATGCAATGGAGTATGAAATGACACGCTGACTTGCCAAGCACGAGACATTAGCCAATGAGCTTTTTACAGCCAGTTCTGTCCTTCATTGCCACATCAGTTTTTTGCAACTAAGATGGAAACACCTATCTCGAGGGGTGTTTCCATCCCTCGAGATGGAAACACCCCTCAAGAAACCAGAGATTAATGTCATGGTAACGACATCTTTCATCTATTGTTCATGTTGTCTATAGATAGATAACATTGCATTCTTTTAACTATGACGACTCGTTAATTAACAGGTAGACTTCTATAATGTCCAAGTTATTATTCATCATTCAAAAGCCAGATCCTTTAGGAAGCCATGCAGGCTATAAAATCACTTGAGTTTTCAAATATTATACAACAGCTTCTAAAAGCTTTAAATTCATTTCCCATCCTTTCAGTGGATCACTTGATTTGACCGACACTAATTAAACATTTTTATTATTAGTGTCTTTTTCATGCTATAAGCATCCAGACAGTAATTATGTATCTCTTCGTATTAACTGTTGTGTGTATTTCCAGTTTTTTTGTACTTTAAAAGCCAGTCTAGGGACAGGCATTGCAAATTAGCATAGGCCCTGTGTGTGGCATGGTTCATGTCACATACTTGTCCCTATACAAATACACAGTTAATGCAGACTGTTAAATGCAATTTGTACATGTGTAGATGCTCTACCAGGAATACATGTGGTTCATGAATGCAGTACTGCAAACGCAGGCTTTCAAATGCACACACACACATACACGCGCGCGCACACACACACACAGAGGCTTACCAGTTCTGCTGGTTTGTTAATCCTAGCCATGTATGGGGGACATGTGGAAGCAGCTTGCCACAGCTGATAGGAGAATTATGTGGGTTTTAACCAGCTAAATAAATAATTATGTTTGTGTAAATTCCTCAAAAGGATTTGTATTAACTCCTTTTTTTGATGGGGGATGAGAGATGCGAGGCATGGTGAAAAGACTCGTAGTAAGCCTACCATATGCTCTTTGAATAACGCATAAAAATAAACAATACCATAGGTGTGTTAAGAGGAAAATGAGCCAAAGGGTTCTGAAATGGTCAGATTTCATCGAGGGGGTGTAATAAGTGTACTTCTCACCATGCTGTCACCACCTCTTCATGTCCCATTCTACTATCCTTACTGTCTCATAGTACTTCTTACCATAATCCCTCTTATGTTGTGACGGCTGGCACTCAGGCAAGACCCACATAGACACACAAACATGCACATGAAAAAAACCCTTCTGGCTTCTTTTGTTCTTGGCCACAGTCCCAATATCAGGCAGACCTATTAGAAGCACGCCTGTCGAAACGGTGTACTTTACAAAGGTGAGGTGAGCAAAAAACCCCAAATAATAGGAAACAGGTAACATATCGTGATTATAAAGAAGGTTTGGAATTAAAAAGCAGAAAAAAAACCCAGGAAAGTCCAAACAACAGGAGCATGTAAACCTATAATCCTGCTGCGTCTCCATGCATCAACACAGCAGGTTACATTTTTTGCTGTTTGACATTGTCAGTCATCACAAATACATGTACACACACATGTGCACGTACTCGCCAAATTTCGTTTCAAACGAGTGGCTTCACACATGCTAACACCTATAAACACACCAATGTTTCAAAGCCAGCTCAACTTAAGATAAATGCACCAGTGCGCTGCACGTCACTGATAAGGCAATTTGGAAGGAAAATAGCATTTCCCGTTTTACTTAAGAAAACAAGAAACATTCACTTCCACTTGAGAAAAAGTTATTTGTTTGCTGTGATTGGGTTTGTGCTCTGTAATGCTTGAGTTTCAACTTTGAGGCAGAACAAACAATGTATGCTACATAAATTGCACAAAGCCCAAGGAGGAAGCCGGCTTGGACACAAGATAGGAGAGGCTCAACAGTTTAACCAGTTGTGCAAATCCTGGATTTTCACTGACTCTAACCCAGCTACATGCCTTTATAGTCTTCTAAATCCACATGCAAGTCGAAGTTTTAATCAGCTGATATACTCAATATACAAAACACTAGCTTGTGTCTCAGAGTTCAATTACACTGTACAACTCTTGGCTCTGGATTACATCAAATGCATATAAAACAAATGGTAGCAAAGCACCTTCAAGAATACTGATTTTACGCTGAGGTGTATGTTATACTGTAGAAAGTCCCAGTTCTGTCATCATATGCCTAAACTATTGGACATCGGAGTCTTTAAAGAATGAAAACTTGATAAAAAAATGTGGTAAAAGTGTTAAGCAAATATGTAAGAAACAGCAAACTCTGATTTTAAATGAAAAATAGCAAACGTCACTAATGCAGCAGCTTAAAAGAGTTTCTTACCATTGTCTGTTGCCAGAAATGTGGCTTCATATATGTTGTTTTTTACATAGACAGACTCCCGGTCGAGCATTGCTGTGGTTACTATCTGACCGTTGCTTCTATTGATGGACAGCCAGTCTGCTGGGTCGTTCAGCTTTGAATACCTAAAGACACACAAAGACAGATCGATGGAGACGTTAGCGTTTCCCTGTTTACAAGCAATTAGAAATTTTCTCTTGCATCTGTGCATACCTAAATTGCCTCCCCACACACACGGTCTAAAAATCACAACAGCTTGACCTTCACACAGTTTAATTCTTCAACGACTTCTTCTCCAGAGCGTGCAGCCTACAGTCAATTTCACCTCATTTTTTTCCCACTCCTGTGTACCAGCCATTGAAGTCAATTACCTCCCTAGTTAAGCACTGACGCAACTGCCTGTGTGTGTGTGTGTGTGTGTGTGTGTGTATGTGTGTGTTTTACACACCCATTTTCTGAACGTGTTTGCTTAAGCTTACACTGAGAGGTTTATATGCATATATGTCTCGATGCTTGCATGTTTGCAAATGTGCCTGTGTGTGTATATAGGGAATGTGTATAGTGTGGAGATGGGAACATGGGATCTTGGTACTGACAGGAAAGTGGATGTGGTAGCAGGTGGCAGCAGTCCTCTGGGATAAAGCAGCAGAGAAGGAACAGGGGATCATCTCCAGGACTGAATGCCAATCTCACTCTGATCTCGCTGTTCTTGTTTTGCTGGCTTTTGTTTCCTTTGGCTTGTTTCACACATTCATTTTTATCTAAGCTCTCTCTACTCATGTCGCCTCACCTTAACTTGAGGTGCTTTTGTGTTCATTCATTTTCGTAGCCCCGTCTGTATCTTCTCATCTGTGTCTCATTTATTCTCCGATTCCGAGTTCATCAACAGAAACCGCTCTTGGTTCACGCGTACACTATGAGACATCATCTGTAGACATGTGACACCTTGGCCTTGTGCACCTATGTTTCTACACCAATTTCATTTCATTTACTGAATGTGAGCCGGGGTGAAAAAGCCAACTTGTTATGTGACATACACTTCCAGGCTTTCAAACTATTCAAAATGAAATGGATTTGACCTTAACCCCACTTTTATGTTTACTGAAATGTACTTTACTCAGCATTAGCGTACAGCTCACTTATTTATTTGTGCTTGATTAAATACTGCATAGCATTTCTACTTACATGCAGGAGACTGAAAGCCTGAAGGGATGGGTGGCAATAAGTAGGGGGGTGAGGGGTGGACAGAGACTATAATCTCTATCCTGTAGTGATTGAGGTGGGATTTTCCCAGCAGGCAGTGGGCATGATCCGAGGCAGAGCACAGTGCGGGGAAGGGAATCACAGAGATGACATTCCCACACTCTAGACAGATTCACACAGGCAAGCCAAGCCCACAGCCGCTAACAGGCAGACAGTGAAATCACCACCAGGACTACAGTGAGTCCATCACAGTGGGAGGGTGGGATAAAAGAGGGAGGAAAATGAGCAGGAATGTGTAGGAGAGGTGACATTCGGAAGTAGCAGCATGGCTGTATGATCTAATTTTAATGTCCTCATTAAGACCGACTTGATACCTACTGCTGTTCTGTGTCCAAATGCATTTCTATTGGCTTGACCATGCCAAACTGACAAATGCTCTCTGTCTGTGGAGTGGAGGGCAGACAAATGGGTGTACATTTTAATGAGAAGATAAAAAGTTTTTCCAAATGCTAGAAACATCATGTTTGAAAAATAAAAACATATTTCTGAGCCTATTAAACAAACAGTTTTTGATCTGAGGAAATATTTTTCTTGATACCCTTTCATATCTGTCAATATGAAGATGAATTAAGCCAAATTTCTTCCCCTCCCTTCTGTCTCTGCGTTCTACTTTGCTTTCCTGGGCGTGGCTTTCATCCTGATCCATGGCTGGCACACCCTTGTCTCATCAGCTCACCTAACCAACTGCTTCTCCAACCACTCTCCGCCAGATTGTTCTGTCAGCTTCAGCAGTAAACTAACGCTGGGCCAACTCTGATTTATTTCCTTGTATATTTCGCTCTCGTGTTAACCAAGTTCTGTCTCTGCGCCTCAGATCTTCCTAATGTGCAAGCCAGCAACCAGTCAGCTACCTGCCAGCGATGCTGTCACTTCTTCTGCCACACTCACCTGTCAGCCCACTCTCCACTGTCCTTCCCAGCTCTCTTCACCTCCCAGCTTTGCCTCCTGTCTACCTTGGACCCAAGCCTCATCACACAAACTCTTTTTTATAGTAGGTTTTAAGGTTTAAAATGTCTGCTAATGGGAATCTCTTAAGGTCGCTAATTAACTATACACATTTTTTTATCTGTACAAACATCAGTGTTTTAAGCCCTGGAGTTTCTGCTATTTCTCTGGCAAACTATCAGTCAAAAAACATAAAACCAGAAATATAATTTGCTGTTTTTACACTTCACTTTGTGTACAAAAAGATTTGGCATGTTAAGAGACTTGTTAATTATTTAACCTTAATTTTAGGTGGTGCACAGACATGTCAATCTTTTTATCCAAAATTCAGCAGAAAAGATTAGAAATACGCAAATAATTTCTTTTTAATATGCCTGACAAATGAGCAGTCACGAATGAACTTTACTCAGAAATCTCAGAGGTCAGTGCCTCAACATCTGGGCAAATAAAATCAATGTTTTCAGCACAGCTCAATGCCAAAGCAAGAATTTTTGTTTTTCACTTGGATAACAGACCCTTTAAAATCAGGGACAGAGAAGGATTCAAATATGGAGCGCATAAATAGGTGTGTATAAGACATTTTCTTCTTTTTTGCCCTGCAAAATGACTGCAGCACCTATTTGTCCCCGGGTACGTTCCACGATAACACGAGCGCATGTACGCCCTCTGATGATAAACGCCGTAACACAAAGGTTTGTTCACAAAGCAGAGTGCTCTATTCATCCCCACACTTCAATTAACTCTCTCCAACTCCAGTCACCGCAGACGAATTAAACCATATTTAACGCACAAAAAAACCTTCTGTATAAACAGTCTTTAGGGGGAAATTTCCAACACAATGACTCGACGTTTTGGTGGAATCATTAGCCGTGTTTTTGTATTTCAACAAAAAGTTAAGTGGAGAATATGGCTGGCTTCAAAATGTTGTTTTAACTTGCTGTAGTGCTGCCTATAGTAAACAACAGTGCTCTGGTCATCAGAGTGACGCCAACGAGAGCACCCACAGTGGTTTTGTTTACAAGTCCCAACTGTAAACGACGTAACCGTGGGCAACTGGCTGTCACCGTCGCTAACTTTTTAATGAAGTGCTATCCAATATTTTTTGTCTTCTTGTAAAAGTAAACAGTTTCCTCCAGTACGCTTCTGGAATATGAAATTTGGTTTCAATGTTATTCTGTGTGTGAAAGTTTTCCTATTCGTTCCCGCGCCTTATTTCCAATGCTTTCCGAAGCTCTCCTCTACCAGAAGGCTTCTCTCATTTGGGAGTTGCTAGGTGTGTGAGTACAGCTGGATGTATGATTAGGCCTGGCAGGTTAGTGATCTTAGCAAGCAGCAGGGAGAGGTATGACATTTATTTTTCAAACCCCCGACCCTGAGGATGAAAAATGCATGTCTCAAGCTTAGCCAAGGCGGTTTGGGTAATCACTTATGCCAGTGTCTCCAGTCCCATGTCTCGACCTTACTGGCTGGGTGTCTGACAGGTGATGCATGATGCTTCACTCCTCTTCCCTCTCCCCATCCCACTCCTGTACACACTGCCTTTCCCCAAAGCCCACACTGTCAGTCTGTCCCTCCATTGATAAGCACCTGTCAACTTCAAACCTTGACCTGAAGTCAGCTCACCATGTTCATGTCCCCTTCCCTCCCTTTATAGTCCCTTAGGTCCTATTTCACTTTACTTTTGACTTTTAAGGCTCCCTCTAAATCTTCTCCATGTCTGACTTTTCTTTATGTATCCATTCAAAAAGGCAGACAGCTTTTTGTCACACACACCGACATGTGCAATATATTACATCTAACACAAAGCCCGGTGTAATATCTAAACGTCTTTCCCATTAAAGGCATGCCTGGTTTAAGGCATGTTTGAATGATGGCATTTGGAAGTACAATACTATGCAAAAGTCTTGAGCCACCCCTTGTTTGTTACATTTTGCTAAAAAAAAGGAAATTGAAATGTGCAAACATAAATGGAAATACAGTGTTAAAAGCAAAAACAGTGTTAAGTCTAATTGTTGAATGTTGTCATTGTGTTTCTTAAATTTGTAAGGTCTTAGTTCAATCTATAGGATCAAGACATTCCTTTGTCTCTGACCACCTCTCCAGCCACTCTGTGCTGGGGAGGTTTTATTGCAGATACATTCTATCTGGAAGATCTGATTCTTGTGATGTTGCTTCCTGCTTTTATGACCCTTTTGGTGAGCAGGAAGTCATGCATACAGAGACACATGTATACAGGGACACACACACACATTCTTGCACATGCATACAGATGTTTACACATACACACACATAGTGCCTTGTCTTAGAACCATTTGGGGGTTTTACGGTGGGAGGTGCGTTTGCTGTGATGTGTATTGTGTGAACTGTTTTCCCAATAAAAGGCAGCAAGTGGAGGCCGGATTTGGGGTCAGTCTATATGTCAATACGTTTCTAAACTAGCGGGGCTTGTGGAAACACAGACCCAACAAACAGAGTTTGTGAAATTCAAATGAGCTTGAGAGTGAGTATTTGGTATGACCACCTATTCCTCATCATAGTCAGAAACCTCTCAGGCAAGCTTTCTTTTCATTTTATTGAAGTAGTCTTCAGGAATAGTTCTTGAGATTTCTTGAAGGTCATTCCAAAACCTTTCCTTCGACTTTCATACACAGAAAAAAAAGGTTACTTTAAACCCACTTTAAAAAAATTGTTACAGCTAAATCTATTAGTTTTAATCAGACAATAATGTAATTTAAAACTTTGAGTTAAAGTACATTATTTACTTAAGGACTAATTGTTTCTGCTGATTTTTTTCTGTGGTGAGTGATTTTAGGTAGAGTGAAATAAACAGTTTCAAACCAGAAATCCCAATTTTCCATTGCAACAATATAAAATTTCAGTTCAGCTAAATAAACCAGGATAGCTTTTAAAACGTTTTTTCTTTTTTCTTTTTTTTAAATTTAAACGTATTCTTTGCCAAGTTGTCTGTTATGTATGGACCCTGGTTCATCCCTTGAGTCAGGTACCTTTTTTATGGTTAAATGACTCATCGGTCACTCTGAATTGATAAAAAACAAACAAAGACAAATATCCCTTTGAAAATGGTAAGGCACAACGAGTGTATCGAAAATAAGTGAAAAAGCAACAAATGTCCAAAGAAAAGCTTTGAACGACTTTCAGAAAACCCAAGAAAACCCAGAAAAATACAAGAAAGTCTGGCTCCTTGGAAGCAAAATATAAAGAAATGAGTGAGACTCTTGCACAGCACAGTATGTGCAGCAGCATCAGTTCTGTGTGATACAACTGAGAAAATGGCAAAAACGAAACCCTGAATTTAAAATTCTTCAAAAATAATGAAGACAACTGGTGTCCTTACGCAACGACTCGAGCAGATACCTTTTATGGAAAAGGTGTAAAGCAGTGGGATTGATAACGATTCTGTCCAGATGGAACCAAATGAATGAGGTGCAGTCTTTGCTTTTCATGTGGCGAGAGCGGAGGAAGGAGATGTAGCCTGTGTTTATGTCAGTCGGACTGTGCCAGAACACAGCATGCTAGTAAAAGTGTTAACCTAAATCCAGGATGCACCGCAGTCTTGACAGGTCATGGAAAAAGAGAGTGGAGACCAGTGAGTTAAATCCACAAAAAGTAGAAACTGATCTAGCGAGGAAGATAACAGAAAAAAAAGAAAGTGTGGGAGCGAGCAAGAGAGCGAGAGAAGGAGCCCAGCTGGTGACTTTGGAATCTTCCTAAATTATAATGTACACCCAATTTACTCTCATTTGCTGTGAAATTATCTAGGAAATTTGTTTAGATCTTTTCCCCGGAGAAATTGAAAGGAAGGAGCTGTTAAAGTGCAAGGTGGTTGGAAGGAGGTGGTCTTAATGTCACACCAAACATCCGTGTTATCAGCTTAATTGTGTACTCTTCTGTGCTAGTTATAAATCACGGTGCACTCACTGTAATCAGTACTGACATTGTACATGCACAAATGGAAACATATGGGTTCTGCAGTTGTATGGGTGTCATCTAAAGCCTTGTTCTCTCTTCATCTAGAATGCAGAGCAGATTGTTCTTAACACAACCCACCTAAGTTTGAAGGGTCATAGTGGAGCCACTGGTGCTGTCAAACTGACAGCAGGACTTAGAAAAGACCTGCTGGTCATTCAAAAGTTGGTTTACATTTAAAATCCAGAGAGGCTTAGCGCAGAGAAGAAACACTGCAGGTGGACATAATGCTGTGTCAGGTGTTTGGGCCTCAGCCAGCTGTTCTCTTTGCCGCCCCCACCTTGCTCCATCTCTTTTGTTCTCTCTCTCTCTCTCGTGTTGTGTGCATCTGTGTGTGTGTGTGTACCTGTCTGTATGTGCTCATGCAACCTACAGAATGCACACACATCTGATTACCCCAGAGGCTGCTGCTCCCTATTAACCTTTTTACCCTCCTTACTCAGAGTTCTCTGCTGGCACATAAACTTCTCACAGTAAGATTTTGAGAGATGGGTAATGCCAAAATATAGTCCCCTTTTTGAACTTTGACCTCTGACCACTGACAGGGAACCAATCCGAGGCTTTTTAGCCCACTGCCAGTGCATATGGATGCAGGTTTGTGCTTACACAGCAGATAGCCACTCTACAAGCTAGAATTAATTAGACAATATAGCCAAACCACATGGAAAAGATGTTATCTAATTAGATTTAAAGGCTATACAAGATCAAAATTAAACTAATGCCCTACTGAATTTTTCCATTCTGTGGACAGAACTGTCTCTCAGTACTCGCTCAGTACCTGATTATCTGCTGCATCTGAAGTCGGTCGGGATCTGACGCCGAGAAGGTCGTCAGGCTGGTGCCAGCAGGGACACCTTCCTCAAAGCGGATGTGTTTTGGGTTTGTGGGGAAGTAAGGAGGTTCGTTTACATCCTGCACAGATATGGTGACCCCAGCCGTGGACTGGAGTGAGGACTGGATGCCAGTGGCCAGGTGGGCCTGGTTGGACACCACTACCGTCAGCATGAAGGCACGGTTCATCTCAAAGTCTACCGGCTGGAGAAAGGAAAAAAAAAAAACAGAGTTACTTACATTTGAAAGGAGAGAATGCTGAACACATTTGAAATAGTTTAAGCTTTTTGAAACTGTTGGCCTTCATGTTGCTTGCTCCGTCTTCTCTTTCTATCTCCTTTGTGTGCAGGTTGCCCTTGTCTCTTCATCTCAGTATTTGTTATTTTTCACTCTTTCTCTCTATGAGGACATGCTCTATTCTGGACCGATTCTGGGTAAGATTACTGCTTTTCAAATACAGCCTCTTAGGTTACAGTGTTACCTACAGCAGGGTAAAGGTAACACTTTAGAATAGTTTTGCATTACCAAAAATAAATACCCCTTTCAGCTTGCTCATGAGTATACATCCACAGGGTGTCTGTAGCCCTGTGTACATTTACCACTAAGTGTATTGATTTTACTTCACTGCACAGCTTCTTGATATTGGCAACATCTCTCCCACCACATGACCAGCAAGAAAGCTATTAATTTTCCTCAGACCAACGACTTCAACCAAAATACAAGATAGCAGGTGAAAGACACCCGTTATGTCTCGAACAAATAATTTTCCAAAGACTTACACGAGACTTAATTTATTCAAACTCTTGATGTGACTTTGTAATTGTGCTGGTTAACTTGACTTACAACCATATAGTTGTAAGTCAAGTTAGAGGAGATTAGAGAAGGCTAATATGGGCTACATTCTAGGCTATATTCCTGGTATGCAGCTACATGCAAGGAAGTCAGAAAGAGATGTAAACACTGCAAATGTGGTTGGGATTTTATTATTATTATTTTCTTTTTTGTATTTATTTATTGTTTGCTTATTTACACTTTTTGCTCTCATTACAAAAGAATGAAAATGGGAATGTGGTGACATTTAGTTGAAAAAGTAATTAAATAACTTAAAAATGAATTCTTTATGCTACTTATTATAACGAAATAGTAAGCTGGGTACTCAAATGTGTAACTGTAAAACTCATTACACCAACGCTGGCTCTCGGTCCTTTAAGAAAAGTACATTTTCTCTTGCTTTTTTCTCAAGGTTTCTTAAATTCTTGCCCTCAAACAAATCAAATGTCCAAGAATGAAGGAGACTGTATTATGTACTGGTGAGCATAAGCAATGAAAAAATATAACAGAGGTGACTAACCTCCCGTGTTCATAGCCTGCACATTAACGAAACTCTGCAGGCTATAGAGTTAAAGCTAGAGAAAGTTTAAGTGATATTTTATTATATAGTCTGATTATTACTATTATAGTGTCAACAGCATTATTTCTTTTTCTGAAGAAATAATTTCCAAGCATCATGCTTAGACTACAATCATTATACTGATTAGTGTAAAGATCCCTGTCAACATTTCTCTTTTCGCCTCTACCTGGGGAATATGCATTAAACCTTGCTGATGAAAAGGGACATGATAGATGAACAGATGTCATGTCAAGTAGTCTCCTGATGAACAAAGACGCACACAGACACGCAGACACAGTGCAGGGCTGATACTGTTCGCCGTGTGTTGTCACTCCTTTTGGATTAAAAGTGTGTATATGTGTACACTACAGGGGGTTTTGAGACCTGAGCTTAAACCACAGTGACAGTTTTTTGCTCCCCTAATGAAGAATACACAATCGAGTTCAAATGACAGCAAGCAAGGAGATAAAAACAGAACAAGTATGCTGCTTGTAGTGTCCACTTGTACATTTCTAAACAGGCAGATGATAATTACTGCTCCAAAGCTGATGCTGATGTTAATGACTTTGAGCAGATCTGTATGTTGCATCAACTCACTGTTATCGGCGGACAGTCTGAGAGCACAGAGATAAAAAAAAACAACAAAATGAGCGCTTTCAGGAAGGTTGGTTGACAAGGCCACTGAAGAAGAGGTGTTTGTACCGGTGCTACGGTTTGCCTGTGTATGTACATGCACGCAAGTATAAATAAATGTAAGCACGCTGGTGTGTATTCGTCTGTGACCTCGTGGAGCACTGGGAGCCCATTTACAGGCTAACCACGCTCAGGGCTCTTTGATCTAAAGCCAGTGGTATTCAAAACACAGGGAGGTCTAGAGTATAGCTGTAGGCTACATAAAACACACATACACACCGAGACACACACACACACCCTGAGGGAAGCCAGAGGGGTGAGAGGTCAATAACATGGCTTGCATCGTTTGCCCATGAGCCATCACATCTTACATCTCCTTGAATCGCTTCGCTCTTTTCTCTTTTTCCCTTTTACCTAATTTGTTCCGCTGGACTTCAGCTTTCCACCCCCTCGTCTTTTCACATCTGCCCTACCCCGGCTCTCTGTGATCTATGCTCTCTGCGGGCTGCATTCCTCAATCCTCGGAAATCTGTCTTCGCCTCACTTCACTTCTCCTTTCCACTTCCCCTGTCATCTTTGGTGTTTATCATAAGCTGTGATTTACATAACTTAACTACTCATTTGAAGCAAGTGGCTTTATTTGTGTGTCTGTGTGGATTTGTATTTTTTTTGTGTGTGTTTGTGTGTTTACTGTCTTTATTACCGTAACGTAAAACGAGAATACGGCTCACAAAATCCACAGAGAGCAGTGCAAATGTGTGACATCATCGGGTTAAATCCTCACCCCTTGTTTACAGAGGAATTCAACTCTCTTGTGGAAGACTGATGCGTATCTGGGTGTCAGTGTAATTTAATCTGTCTGTAATAGCAGCCACAGATGCCTTGGTTAAAAAAAACGTGTTTTTTTTTAAAAAAGAGCAGGAACAACAAGCTAGCACCAGTCTTATGGGTTCTTGACTTTACCTATTACAAGCTGTCTGATGTGAATGTTCTGTCTCCTTTTTCACAAAGCAAACCAAAGCACCCTGTTTACTTGTTGAGACTGTCTATTGCTTGCTTCGTCCCAGGGGGTGTCCTGTCTCTTATTTTATGATTTCCTGATAACCTCCCACGGGTCCCTGTGCAAGCTTAGGGCTACCCGACTGCCTGCTGAATTTTGCATCAGGGAGTGAGAGGAATGGATTATAAAAGGCAGTCATCTAGAGATAATGAAGAGAAGCAAAATGCCAATGCTCATTGCTCAGGGTGCTATGGGAATTCTAAGGAAATGTTATTGCTATTTTTTTCAGATTATTATGTGATGTGAGATGCAGTTTGCAGGAGTCAGATACATGGTGAGAAAGCCCCTGGGTGAAATAAAACAGTTATTTCTACAAAACCCATGAAACACAGTAAGCACATTTACAGAAAGCCACACAAAGGATGGCCACAGAGATGCAAATCAACAGGACACACATCTACAGTAAATGCACACACACACAGTTTATGATTGATGTTATATGGAGGCTTTTTTTCTAAATGGGTTAAAATCATGCGGACAACCTCTGACTGAGAGGTCAAACAGTAATGTAGCAGGCTGTTACAAGACAGGGCTTTGTTGTTGCTGTCTTTTACCACAGCAGCTACAACATTATGAGTGTATAAAAAACGTTGCCTTTGTAATTGAGAAATCAATACCTAATTTGCTACAGTGGTCTCACCAGCCATTGTGTTTAAGTCTCTGTGTGAGCGTACGAGCTGTTTCTGAAGGGCACAGCGGTCTCCAATCCCTCATTTGGACATAAAGGGGCATATGAAAGACAAAGACCCCAATCTGTCCCTATTTAACTCTGTAGTCTATTATTACTGCTTGCACCTAAATCTGGAGGGGCTTTGACATTCAACAGAGAAAACCAGTGTGTTTCTTCTACAGGGAAAGGCTCAGAATGTTATGTTAGGCCTGGATCTTACCTTCACCACGGTGACCATGCCATCATTTGAAATCGGGTCGGTGCGGATGGTAAAATGCCCAGATGGGTCTCCGCTGATGATCCTGTAGATGGCATTCCAATTAGGGGAGTGCGGTTGATCAGCATCTATAACCGTCAGGTTAGCCACAACGACATCTACACGGTTCTCGGGGACCTCTCCAGAAAACTGTAGAAAGAAAGAGTGAAATGTTACCCTCGTGATACATCACTTTGAAACATCTCACTGCCGCTGTGGTCGTTTAAGATGCATTGAGCCGTTTGAGTGTGGCAATTTCTACAAAAAGCCACTGAGTGCCTATCTTGCTTTTCCATTTGTCTTTATAGAAACATTCCTCCTTTCAGGTTTTCAGGTAGAGTAATTTTAATGAATTCGCTTTTACCACTGCTGGGTAGTAAACAAGCAGTAAACACAGTTTCACACTAGCAAGCACATGCACACAAGGGCGTTGTTCCATTTTCACTGCTTTCTGCATTGCTAGTACACATCATTGATGAGCAATACTATTTCATCCCTTAAAAAGCCACAGAAACATGGGAGAAAAGAATGGGTGAGGAGATAAAAACAGGAGTGTGGAGGGTTAAAACAAATGTTTAAGTGTATATGAGTGTTTTTTAGTTGTCCCTGTCCTGTACAAACACATGTGCTTTGCCCTGATAAGCCTTGATGAGGAGTGAGCTGCTGTCTGTTACGCGTCTGCTATGTTAGGGATTCATCAAAGCTGTACAGGCTCAGTAATAAATCCCACAAAGACCCATCAACTAACTATTGCAATGACTCCACTCCAACTCCATAAAACACAACTTGACTGTAGCCCTACCTACACAAACAACTTGTCAACTCTTAACCAATTACTTGAGGTCAGAGCGTGTTGGCATGACCTCATCTCATCTGCAGGCACCAGGCATGTAGTACCGTACAGTCACCGTGTCACATGGGTAACAGGCATGGAAGAGCGACTGAGTAGCTTATGTGAGGATATCAAAGAGCAAAGCCCCAGACCAAACACTCCATCGGATCATAATACCCTGCCTGGCAAACCTCGCATCACCCAGCAAACAGCCGACAGCAGCGGGCAGATTAGGGGGCTGCGTCGGGAGAGCTGTTCAGAGACTCAATGACATTCTTAAGACAACAGACAAGTCCGGGTGGTCCTGATGCGCTGCCTTCTTTGGATAGGCAGGCTGTCGTTTGTTAGTGTTAGAGTGTGTACGTGTGTGCTCATGTGGTTTATTACTGTGGTTTGGTTCAGGGACTCCCCAACGCCAGTTCAATAAAATAAAACTTCAGTGGTGGTTCTTATAGGCTCCCTAAGGAGCATCTTATTTCTCAACACACAGTAACAACTAAGGGCAAGTGTTAATCAAATCAGATGGAAGACTTTGAAGGGTACACCGCAGCTCTGATTATCAGTTTGAGCTTTTTGTCTCATTATCTCTTTATATAGAGGGGGGGGGGGGGGGGGGGGGGGGCATGATACGTCACATCAAGAGTTTGAATAAATTAAGTCTCGTTTTTTTCTCTCAGGGAAAACTATTATTACTATACTCACGTGGCAAACACAAACTTGAAAGGGTTCTTTGCAAAAAACGTCAAATGTAAAAGACTAAAACTGTCAACATAAATGTGTACAGGACGTCAAGGGCAACGCATATTACAGTCAATAACTTCCAATTACTGCACTTTTGTCATTTTTGATTTTAGATAGCAAGTATGTTAACAAGCATCAAATTCCTGTGATGAGTAATGCAACGCAGTGTGCCTTTCAGCATAACAAAGTAAGTTTAAGAATGCAGTTGATCTGAACATTTTCAAGGAGACAAGAGCCTTTCTACGCTGAATAATAGACAGGTGAGATCTTTGAGTAAACCTTCAGATAATTACTTGGAAGTCATTATTGTTCCTCTCTTAAACCAAAGGTTTCTCCGAATTATCATTTACAAACGCTCTGTTTTCAAGGGTTTAACTTTAATGACAGTGATCTTTGATGGATGTTGGGGTTATTGTCAATAATGGATGGAACAAAGAGCTTTTAAACATTGGTGGAAAAAAGCCTAGAGTTGCTCTCTTTCTTTCACTGTCTTAGTGATTTATTATACTAATGCTGCTGCGGCTTCTATTGGCTCTGCTGTTAGTGGGTCTTTTAACATAGACCTTCTGTATCACCATCTACAGGCAGAGGCTTAAATTTCCTCTAATTACATAGGCTTGTATTTTTTTGTATATGATTCTGTCCCCAACTGCTGGACTTTCTGATTGTGATTGGCACACAGTGCTGTTGGCACAACACTTGACAAAACACCTCTTGCCAACACCCTGAACTCTCTGTCACTTTTCTGGCAGTGGAGAAACACTAAAAGAGGCAAGGAGAGGTAAAAGCGAAAGCAGAGAAGTGACAGGGGACTTAATCATATAAGCTTTGTTAGGATAGTAGCTAAAGGAGGCCAAGAAAGCACTGCGGTGACTCTTGCAAAGAGACACTCTGATTTCATGGTTTTACGTTTCTACGTATTCCCAAAAAGCAGTGAATGCCACATTTCATCCGTCTGTACCATGGATGGCACATGCATGTATGCAGCCCTGACTATCCACCCAAAGTCTTCCCATCTGTACCCATGCACCACCCTTTGCGGACTTGAAAAAATAGGCCAGCCTCTGATAGGCATGATGAAATATTAATCTCCAACATTAAAGACAAATTCCCCAAACTTTATATTTCTGGGACATGTTGAAAGATCTATGGGGTTTATTGCAAACACTAAATATTTGCATAATGGCCTGCATTCTCGACAAAATGGCTCTTATGTTATACCCCCATGAAAGTGGATGATTTATGAAGGGAGTGGGTAAAAGTGCTCTGCTCATCGTGGCTCCAAAACCTCCACTAAACTTGATCATCAATATCCATGATAGTATTAACTTCCCTCTGTGACGGTGATGGAAATGCACTTAAACACGGTGGAATACAGAGAATATCAATCTATTATTGCCCACTATCATCAATACACCACCATCGGTAGAGAATCTTAATGCAGGAAGGGGGTGCCGAGTCAGTAGAGGCCTCTGATTTACAACGAGCCATGTCTACACTTTATCACTACTGCTGTACAAAATAGCTCCCGCGACTAAATAATTCTTCATTCCTTCTTCTCTCCCCATCATTCTCTCGTCACTTTTTTCCTTTTCATTTTCCATCGTTGACTCTACTTGGTGGTCCAGGGATAGCTCAGTAGGTAGAGTGGTGGCCCCATGATCGGAAGGTCGGGGGTTCGACTCCACTGAACGGCTACCCTGAGGTACCCCTGAGCAAGGTACCATCCCTACACACTGCTCCCCGGGCGCTGCACTGGTGGCTGCCCACTGCTTCACTGGGTGAATGGGTTAAATGCAGAGGAATTATTTCCCTATGGGGACTAACACGCACACTTTACACTTTACACACTTTACACTTTACACTCATCAGCTCCCCTTACTGTTTTCTTTCTTTCTTCACCCTTTCCTCTGCTTCTTCCTTCCCTCTGCCCTCCGAATGCCCTGCTTTGTGTGACGTAGCAGTTCTCTGACGAGCTCTGTGACTGACATATGCTTACCTCTAACGCTAAGTCATCATCATAAGGATCTTAATAGCCCCCAGTGCAAATGCTAATGCTAAAATTGCTGCTACCACCTCTAAGAGTTGTGTACAGTATACTGTTTGGCTGATACTGCCTCCGTCGATATTCCAGCAGTTGCAAAGCTAAGCACCTTATCTACCCGACATAACCAGGCTCTCATCCCTGATGATAGGAAGCCACACATCCAGAATAATCCTGACATCTGAAACCACACTGACACGGAGACAGCCTTTTCATTAAACAAAACATGTCGAACGCAGAAAAACGACTTCATTTTAAATTTTCTGAACAAATGTCTCTGCCACGTCCCATGAAACTTATTTCCAACCATAAAAATAATAAGTCTGATTTTTTTTGTTTACAGCTATAAGTATAAAAAATGATTGAGCTGCTGTCTCAAATGTCTCAAACATTTATGCATTTTACAGATATCTATCTATCTATCTATCTATCTATCTATCTATCTATCTATCTATCTATCTATCTATCTATCTATCTATCTATGCTATTATTATATTAATAGAATATATATATATATATAATAATAGAATAGAATAGAATAGAATAGAATAGCCTTTATTGTCATTGTACAGAGTACAACGAAATTGGAGTGCCACTCCCTTGGTGCAAGATTCAATAATAAATATAAATGTAAAATATAAAAAGTACAATAAAACAATCGTAAGTACTCAAACAATAGTAAGTACGATATATACAGGATAGCAGCATTAATATAATGACAGTATGAATAGCAGCATAATATAATGGCAGTGACGGTATGGTATAGCTAAGCAGGTTCAATTGTTTTTGTGCTTATTTACTACGGTGATAGCTCTGGGAAAGAAGCTATCCCTGAATCTGTTTGTCCTGGTTTTATGTGACCTGTACCGTCGGCCTGACGGTAATAGTTCAAACAGTTGATTGCTGTTGATTGCTGGGGTGAGAGTAGTCCTTGATGATATGATATAAAATCCATATATGTGTAAGTGAAAGTAGAAATAACCTGAATCACTAATTGATTTAGTGATGATGTTCCAGAATGGCACCACAAGCAATATATTACATATATTGCAGTACTTTGGATTTTTAATTTTTACTTGGCTCTCAGTAATGACCTTCTGTAATGTAATCATCATTCTAAATATCACCATCATGACAACAATCATTAACCATTTGCTGGCTCTAGTTTTCTTGCTCATGAAAGTCAATGATATGGATCTGTTATTCCTCACGAGTGCGCGTGCACGAGTATGTGTGTTCGCATGTGTTTGTGTTTCAGCTCTCTACAAGCAAATGAGCAATTATCCTTTATAAGTCCCCCTCACTGTCCTTGTGTAAATCTTTCCTTGTAATGACATAACAGTGTAGATTCCTCTTTTTTCAATTTTCCCCCCTCTATGTCTTCCCCCTTCTTCTTCTGATATATTTCTTTTTTATGATTTTTCTTTTCCAACATGTGATTTCCGCCCTCTTCTCTTAACCCAACTCCTCTATTTCTTTGAACTGTTACCCATTGCCCATTACCTCATTTGTAATAACTCACAGTTCTGGAGGTCAGCATGGGAGGGTTGTCATTGATGTCCGTGACAGTGATGATGGCAGTGGCTGTGTTGGAAAGGCCAAAGTTCAGGTTGCCCTCCATGTCCGTGGCCTGCACGATAATGGTATACTGGGACACTTTCTGTAAAAGACAGTAATAGAAAAAAACAACAGTGTGCGGTTATTCATCTGCAAAAAGCTCCCTCTTGCTACAGCAGCAGTCGCAGACTGTGACTCCCATGGGGGAAAAAAGCTGAGCCTGCGTTCTCTTCTATAGTGACTGTCTACAGTCTTATTTGAAACACAAAATCACAAGGGTGAAGTCTTTCATTTGACTGAGTTGAAATCTCTTCACTGGAACGTATCCAGACTTCAGACCATCTGAAGGCACCACTGTGAAGCCTCCCCATTGGTACAGCATGCCATCAAAGTTATCAAAGGCATCGCTTATTCAGCGCCACTGATGGACAGATGTGAAGACAATGATCCAACTGACAGAGATTAATAGACTATCTATGGGGCAATAATATGAGGGAATGATAAATGCCGTTTCATCTCTTGAAATGACATAGTGTCACTTCAGTGGATGCTGAAATATTTCTTGTTTTTCTTCTCAGCCATGTACCTCCTTTCTCACCATTTTCCCCTCCTTCTGTTCTTGGCTTCCCCTGTCTCTTCTTCTGTCCCAGGGTGCAGTTAATGGGCTGCAGGAAGGATGGAGCCCAGAAGCTGACTGTCTGGATAATGTGTCTCGTCATTGAGATTCCCAATTACATTCCCAGTGTCTCTCTCACCTGCTAATTACCGAGTAAATATCCCAATTAGGCCAGGACGCCACATCAGGAGGATTAGACAGCTTCTCTCAGTTCCTCTCATCTTGATGCTAGATGAGATGCTGAACTCCAACCTCGTACACACACTCTCATTAACACCCGTAAATACACACAAGCATCCACAAACACATACACACACCTCTCTTTCTCCATATCTTCTGCTTGCTTGACTGTCCCATCAGCCTGTGTACAGCGTGTACACAACACTCTCACTAATTAGACAAGGGAGTAATTATGTAGCGCTCCTCTGAACCTCTCAGCGCTGCAACAACACCGCAGCATAGCCAGTCTTCTCTGGAGTACTAAGGTCTGTTACTGTCAACAAGCTCTTAAAAGTCCACTGCAGACCAGTGGAAATCTTTAAAAGAGAATCAGTGTGGGAGTTTACAAAGAAGAGGAAGAAGACATTTCAAAAGTAAAGAACAGAAGATAGGATAAGAGGCGGCAGGGGATGCAACTGAGGCACAAGGGAGGGATAATACCAAAAATAAATCGTGCTTTTTTTTGTGTGCCTAACACCTCCAACACTCCAGTCCAAGAAGAGAAGGGAGGTGCAGAAACTTTCCAAGTTTCAAAGGGCTAAAGTGCTGACTAAAAGTGGACCAGGTAAACACTGCAGTGTGCATCGTCGAATCTTCCTGTGAAGTTTATGTACAGTACAGAAGGTACTTTTTTCTGGCAAGGTTAAGACTTTTATCTGCCGTCTAGGAAAAATGCTGGGACACTGAAATATGCGTTTATATGCTGGAGAAACTGTTTGCACACAAGTTTATTTATATTCATCCATCATACATATCCATTAATTTTTTGCAACATCCAGTTCCTTATCCAGGTGGTGGAGGCAGCAATCTAAGTGCAGATTGGGGTAGGCGGGGTAGTTCTTCGGTCTACCCCAGGGTCTTCTTCTGGCATGACATAAGTGGCATCCAGAAGAGATCACAATCAGAGTGCTGAACCACCACAGCTGATGTCTCACTTCTTAGACCCTCCTACATGACTGAGTTCTGACACCCTTTGGAAGAAGCTAATACAAGACAACACAAAATGTGTATGCCAATTGATGTCTGCTGGATAAGCAGGTGCTGTAGAACAACTTCAAGGTGGTATTTCACCGGAAAGTTGCAGCATTATTTGGAGTGACACCAAGTACCATCTCTAAATTGAAGGGCAAGTTCCATATAACAGGGGATGGACACGAATAGGTGTCACAAAACGACATTTTCTCATCCCATCAGCACTCAGGGAGTCAAGAGGATGGAATGTTCTGTCTGCAGTCCTGAGCTCAATCCCATTGAACACTTGTGGGATCAGCTTGGGCATGTTGTTCGTGCCAGAGTGACCAACACAACCACATTGGCTGACTTGCTGGTTGAGAAACAGGATGCCATCCCACAGCAGTGTGTGACCAAGCTGGTGACCAGCATGACGAGGATGTGCCAGGCTGTCGTGGCTATGACTGGGTACTGACGTCCCTGTGTGGCACCATTTAAGGAGAAATAAACAGTCTTTCCAGCAGTATAAGATTTAAGGCCAAGAGACATTTTTAAAACAAAGAAATAATCAACCAAACACAAATTTCCTGAGTTTATTTAAGACACTAAGACAATTTCATTTTTAAATAATCAAATCAGCGTCACTGAAATACGTGTACATAGCTACACCATATATACGAATGTGTACCCAATTTTATTTTTTGTTTGTTTTATTTTTTTCTTAATGTGGCAAATGATAGCTCTGCTAGATCCAGCAGTTTTCTTGCCTTTCAGGTGATGAAGTGCTTATATGCAAGCTTACACTGACTCAGCGTGCATACAACTTTCTGCTTGAAAGTCGAGCTGAACCAAGCTGGTTAGTAGGGCTGCCATGAGACTTACTCTTCAACTTGCTTGTTTAAAATGTCTTTTCACAAAGAGAAAGATGGGCTCTCTCCCAGTGCCAACTCTGGACTAGTAGTAACTGGTTATGTAACATCTTAGAACCAATAGTTAACCGGTTTTGTGTTAACTGTTGATAACATGTTAACATGTTGATATATGGTTTGGATATTGTTCTAATCCTGATTCAAAAAGTTGGATTAGGTGTTGTTGACAGCGGGGAAAGATCTATGAGCCGATCCACTTAATTCAATATTGCTCTGGCTCTTTGGCTTTAAGACGTCACCTGTCACCAGCAGTGCACTAGCTGCTAGAGAGAGAGCATTGCCTGAAAAAAGCTAACTGCAAAGGGTCAGCAGTTTGGAGGCATTTCATGGCTGTTACGTCAACAGCTTTTGGCATATATATATTTTCACTTTACTGCAGTCTGGGATATTTATCATATTTCTGGATAAGTAAAAAGGCTGAAAATGGTGCTTTCTCTAGCTTCTTGCTCTATTTCTGTTGTGCTCTTGATTTGCTGGGAGATTGTTTTATCATACTTACAGTAACATAAATTGAAATTGACAATTTCATTTCATTTCACCATTTCACTTACATGTGTCTAAGGAGGTGCACATTTGAGTGTATGCTTTCACACAGTGAGCAAAAGGAAAGGAGAAACTGTAAAGCTGTAAAAGGCAGCAGTATGCAGTGGCCTTACCCTAGTCTCACAATAGACTGACATGACTACCACAAATAAATTAGGTAAAGAAAATGAGTATAACTTTATTTAGAATTCATTCTTCTATTAATAAATACAAGTTCAATAAATCTATATTCTTGGGTATATTTATGTGTTGCATTTTATTTTACAAAGTCAGAAAAGAAACGCTTAAGTTGAGGCTGACACAAAATACTGATTATCAGTCTCTTCCCCAGAGTCAGGAGTTAATTTAACACCAGCATTGGAATGAAATTTAGTCTTGTTGACTCCACTTACATCCCATTCTTCCAAAAGTAATGCCCTCATTTGTTGTTTGGATAGTGGAGGTGGAAAGTGTTCCCAAAGGTTTTCAAATGGGTTTAAATGTTGTCACTTATCAACTATGTCTTGATTTGCAGAGACTCTGTTAATCTAAGGACACCAACTTTGCCTGAACAATGCATTTTGGTTCATTCTCACTTTAGGAGTGTTAACTGTTAGTGTGAGGTTAAAAACATTTTCTGGGCTAGTGTGAAAGGTAAACCTGGGGCCGGGATGTAGATGAGTGCTAGAAAATGTACGGATGATGATGTTTAAAGGGAAAAGAGGCAATGTGTAGCCATTCTTTTCCCTTAGTCTCTTTTCTGAAGATTTACGAGCCTCATTTGCACCTTGTATCAACATGCAGTACTGATGTGTTATCTGGTTAATGAAATCTGCTCACGGGTCTTAGACATGGCATCGAAAAGCATTAAAAATGTCTGTATTACTAGCCTTACTGTAATTTGACATCAATGCTAAATGGGGTTAGTAAATTTTTCAGAAAATATGACAGGTCCCAGGTTGGATGGAGGGATGATTCTCTGTTGGCTTGACTTTTTCTTTTGCTGACATAGGTCTGCCTGTAGTGTTTTTGTCAAGCTTGTGGAAAGTAGCAGGAAGATAAGGAGTTAGATGAGCTTTCATCTTGTTGGGAATATGACCAGCTTGTGCATATTATATTTACACGTGGCTGTTGTCTGATTGTAAAGTAAGCAGATGTGATCTGAAAAGGAAGTGAAAGCGAGAACGCTGATCCCAGTGATACTAACCTGGAAAAACATATGTTATTAAAAAGGTTATGGGCAAGGGAAATAATTATCTCAACACAAGTTCTTTGAAGTACAATCTTGTCTGTATGTGTGTGTGTGTGTGTGTTTGTGTGCATGCATGTGTTTAGGGGTGCCAAGAGTGTAATCCTACATTTAGGGGTGACTGTGTGGATTAGCAGTGTACTGATAAACCAGAGCAAAAAGAAAAGCGGTTCAGCTGAGACATTTTTAGTCTATGCTCCCCTTGTACCTCTCTCCCTCTGGCACCATCATGTCTCATCCTGCTTCTCTGTCTCCATCACGCTATCTTCACTAACAAATTCACACACTTACTCCCCCCTCATTGTAATAACCCACCTTACCAGCTCAGTTTTTGTTCTATTGCTCCCTTCAGTTTTCGTTTTTTCACTCTATTGCCTGTGTTTTATCGAGTGTAGATGTGATTATGGGCTTTTGTGTTTGTCTGACAGGTGTCAAGGGCATTCTATCTCAGATATTTCCACTCTATCTTTACCACACAAACACCACGCACACATACACACACGCACACTCACGAGCAGCCCACTGCTGCGTGATGTGTTGTTAATAGGTCTGTCACTGGTGACAGTCTGGGAGGATGATCTGTCTCGGAGATTTCTTTGCAGAGTTGTCACTGGCACATCCATGTTGTGAGAATAAACACATTTGGATCTTGTCACAACTTTTAGAGCTCCACAAACAAGGTGACCGTAGACAATTTAATATAAAAAAAAAGATGACTTATGTGTGTGTGTGCGGGGACAAATGGCACCGTAACATCTGAAAGTCATATCTTAGGATGTCATCAGAGTAAACAATGCTATTAGGAACTGTTCTCCATGAACACAGATACAAATGTCTTCCTTTTGACCAGGTATGGCTCATTCAGACATTGTGCAGCAATGCAAGGGTTCACACACTGTATGACTAAAAATTATTTTATCATCCTTTGTCACACCAATTACCAATTAACAGGAACAGATGTCTCGAGGAAAATGTATATAGTAAGAAAAGATAATATAATATTCGAGAGAAAACCTCACCAGTCAGGTGATACCCTGTGAGAAGCACTTGGCAACAGTGGGAAGGAAAAACTCCAGTTTAAAGGGAAGAAACCTCCAGCAGAAGGCTCATTAGGCACCTGGCAGTGCTTTTTAAATGGAAAAAGTATTTACCTGCACAATAGAAAATATAAGCTTATATATAATAATCTTTTCTGTAAATTAATGGGCAATTAAAACTAGTTAAATGGTCATTTCATTGTTATATTGTTATGAAATGATGATTTTTTTAAAATTGTTCCAGTCTGTGTAACAAATACATTATCCATTATTCTATATAGTAATAAATATGACATCACCGTTGATTAGAGACAATTACAGTCTGATGAGATCTGCACTTATAACATTTGCTAATGATAAATAAAGAGCTATTGTTATTTTGTGTTATTTTTATCGATCAGTACGCATATCTCAGTTACCCGAGTTTTAAATATTGCATTTAGTCAAAGCCGGTGGCATGTTAGGGATAATTATAAGGGTTAGGGTTTTTAACAGCAGTAAAACAAGTGCCCCTCCAAACTTTCCCAAACACTAAATAAATTAAATTCACCACCATCCAGTGTAAGGTTTATGCCACAGCTGCTCTAAATGAATGTTGATGGTAATTGCTGAAATACTTTTTCATGTCTCTGCAATGGTTAATCCACCAGTATGCTTTAATTAAAAGGATAATTGTAATGCCAAAACATAATTACTGTTGTTATCCATAAATTTTCAGATGAACTGTTTTTCAAAAGAGCTGAAAAAAAGTAAAATACATTATTCGTTTTAAGCTAAGATGTCAAATTACAGTTATTTACTCACATTCCTGAACAAGTAAATAACTGTAACTGATTTACACCACCCGCAAACCTATGCAGCTTCAAAACAAGTATTTTAACACCAGTTCTAACTTTATACTAGCCATTCAAAAATATCTATAGATGTACCAAACAGTATTTATCAGCCAAGAAAGTTTTATGAATCAGTTACCACTTTACAATGACAATCACATACTATTAAAAGGTTGTATATTAATCAGTTAGTAAACATTAATTAAAATGTCAGTGTTGTTGACTGAAAAGAGTTACTTCACATTAAAAATTTACTGTTTATTAACACTTGTTACTATAAAGTGGTACAAGTTGATGAATGCGTCAGGAGAGAGAAGACCAACCTCTCGATCAAGACCAGGCGCCACTGTCACGATGTCTCCAGTCTCGCTGTTGATGGTAAACATGTTAGGGATCGGGCTGTGCGGCGTCTGGGACAGGATCCGGTAGCGCACCATTCCATTAGCTGTGGTGTTGTCATCTGCATCAAATGCTGACAGATGCATCACATATGTTCCTGATGAAACACAGAAACTTTGTCAGCATTTATGTCCACCGGCATACTCTTTATAGATCAACTACCAACCATAACAGTGGCTTATTATAGCTATCTTTGTAAATAACTTGACTTGACATGGTGAAGCTTGACCTCCCCTCTGTCTACTAGCAATAGTCATTGGTTAAGCTTTTGGTTTAAAGCAGTTGCTTTTTTCAAATGCTCCAGAACGAAAAACTGCCTATGCTTTTACAGAGGTGATCACACTAGCTCATCAGTCAATTAATGGAGTGTATTTGATGAGCAGCACATGGCTACTTCTTACCTTCCTATGAAAACAGTAACCACAGACTCTGTCACGGGACTGTGAAAACCTTCTTTTTCACGTGACTGTATAATATATTAAAAAAGCACACTCGTGACAGAGACATTGGAACTGTAGGGAAATTATCCTGTAATTACTACTTATGTCCATGTGGGCAGCTTTTCAGCAAAAATTACTATAATTTTACAATTACATTCTATTGTTTTACTAAGATGTCATAACGGATTAAATTGCTGCATCTATATAGATGTAATTTTCATAGAAACATTATTTAATCTAATTTTAATGAATGTATATTAATGGGACAGGTACTTAGAAATCTACGCCAACAGAACAAAAATATGGGTAGCTGTTCTGTAAATAACGACTTGGACAAATACTAGAAAATCAAACACAAAAGTATATATATATATACATGCAAATATTATTAAAATATGTTATAAAGATGATGTTTTTTATATTTAAAGGACATGTTAAAAACTAATAATAAAAACTGATTATGATTTGTGTTGCAGAGAATAAGCGTCTACTCTCTCACGAAAGCAACACTTGTTAGGTTCCTTCCCTACTTGTATAACTCTGTGGGATCACTGCCTGTCACCCAATCTCTCCATCTCTTTCTCCCTCTTGTTCTGCCTCTCTTGTAGCCAATTCTAATTGCCAGAGATAGTGATATCATGCCAGTGACAGCCCCTGTCCGAGGATAATTGTAACCGCAGCTCCCATTTCAAACTTCATTACATTTCAAAGCAACATTTGTCAATGACTCGGCCAGAGGGAGTACTCTGAAGGCCTCTCAGCGAGACAACAAAAAAGCTGTTAGGAACAGAGAGAGGGAGAGGAAAAGAGGGAAATAGAGGACAGACTCCATATTTGGTGTGATTCCAAGTGGAGAGACTATCAGTCCTCCACCCATCATTTTTTTTTTAAGAGATGTGGGGATAGACTGAAGGAGATTTAGAATCACAATGTGTCACACATCGCCGGGGTAATTTCATTAAGCTGCAGACTTAGGGGGTTTAATGTGGACCCTTTGTATGGGGATCCTAAGCTGTGCCTGACAGGATTAGGTCCCCATAATGACTCTTTAATTTGCAAACTAATTCAAGTCTGTAATTGCCCTTCCATTGAAACCACTGGAGCTCTAAATTCTAAAACTCTCTTTTTTATGATTATTGTTCAACTGAATGTCATGCATGCCGTACAGGGACTTGTACGGTGTGTGAGGCGAGGCTCGGGCAACAGGGATGGTATCGTTTAGGAAAGGAAATCAAAAAAGGAAAAGAAAAGATAATAAAAGTGAGGTGTGTCAAAAGTAAGAAGGAAAGAAAGCAAAACAGAAAGAAAAGGTATTGAGCACCTGGACACCTTTTGAGATCACCTCTGGTGCAATAAACTCTGGCTCATCGGGTTCAAACTCACACACACTTGCACACAGAGAGCTCATCTCTGTGATTCTTCCGCTTTGAGGTTAGACATAAAATGACCCAGTGGTGCTACAGCGTGGTACATTTAATCCTCAATCTCCTCTCCAGCCTGAGCACCCTCTTTGGTTTATGACCACTGCTGCACCAGGCTAAATGAAAAGCCACTCTACGAGACCGATTCTCTGTCCGTCTGCTAAATCAAGGGGAATGGAAAATTCTCTGTTGCATCAAAGATTCACTGGTGTAGTCATACTTTTAACAACACCAATCTCTCCTGATATACTCGCTGTTCTTTTTCTGTTCACCCATAAATTTCTTGACTTTTAAAACAAAACAAAAAAGTTTCTATTGTAATTGTATCAATTGTTTTTCTCCATCTATAATTTATTACCTGGTTTCGAGCCTTCATCCACAGAGCCATTGTAGACCTGGTTTTTGAACTCGGGTCTGTTGTCATTCATATCGATGACAAAGATGTACAGATCGATAGGGTTCTCAACCTGGTTGCCGTTCATGTCCACAGCATGGGCTCGCAGCTAGGAAGGAAACAGAAAAAACACGTTCAGATTAGAGATAATGATTGTAGATAAAAATATGCTACTCATGGTCATACACACATAATATGCCTCAGTCTTCTCACATTGTACACATCTATTTAGAATGCTAATTTTGCCACCTCGACCTCCAGCATCTCGGTGTCGCCGCTGCCCTGTTTCACTGCCTGCTGTTTCAACCCACTTGTAGAACAGGGGCACATTGAATTTTCATGCTCATCTTTAAAATATAGTATATTTTGAGGGAGTAATGAACTCAGACTGCGCTCCTGCATGAATTGTTATTATGGGAGGATAAACAAATGATAAATCATTTAGAATCAGGCTTTGATGAGCGCTTCTTTTACTAATACGGAGAAAAATAATGGGTGAAACATTTGCTTTCCGAAAGAAAAAATAATAAATATATAATAAAATGAACCAGTGTAATATAAGTCAATGTTGTGCCTTCTGCATCCCCTCATTAATGAGCTTCAAGGTAACTATATGGACTTCTTTGAGAGCTAAGGGCATGTGTGTATGTATAAAGCAGTAACATACATTCACATGGTTTCGCCTATATTTTAAGATGTAATATCAGACAGTTTGTGTTTAGCCCAATCAAAAAGAAACTGGGAAAGATATTAATATATTAACTGTATTCAAACGTCTGTTTTTTATATCTTCATCACAACGGTTAGCAGTGTTGCCTGTTCAGTTAGGGAAATGAGCTACAGGTGCAGATGTAAGGTGCAGTACAGTAGGTTAAGTCTGTGGTAGATAGCAGGCTTAGAAAGACACTGTACAAATGCCAGTCTATTGTCCATTTAATTAATAATGATACAAAACAAATTAATGTCCCACATTCTTTAAAAATGTATAAAACTGTTCTGGAGGTTAAAGCCTGGTCTCTGTCTAGAGGATAAACCACACAGTACAACAGCAACACCTTAGAGAGCACTACCTCAGCGATAAGTCGTATCACTAGAGGCACAATAACACATTTATTTTCTGAGAATGTATCTAATCTAAGATTTGCCAATACTTTCTAAATGAAATTTATCTACACCAAGATTTCCTTTCTACTGGAAATGGACCATCATATTTTAAAACCACCGTGTTTACAGATTCAGTTTGATTTACTCGCTAACGTCTGTCTAAGCAGTGCCCTATGACAGCCACCAAAATCAAGATGACAGAAAATAAAAGCTGACAAAAATGTTGTCACAGTAATTGACTCGGCTTCATTTATGATTGCGAGTTCACAGTTTTTAGCGACATGAATGTTTACACAGAAGCTGCTCTGTTTGCTGGGTCATAAACAGTACTGCAAGGATTTGGCACTAAATTAATTAATCAGCCAATATATATAGCTATGATATGAAAAAGAGAGTTTTAACAAGACAGTCCTGTAAAGAGCTAAATGCATCTCGTGATCCAGCAGGATGTAGAACTACCTTTAGTAGCTTGACCTTATTATTTTTTTCTAATCTCTCCCATCATTGCGGCCAACTCTTCTTTATCACATTTCTTCAGTTTATCATTTATTTATACACAGCTCTCTTAAGGTCCAGACACAATATTTATCAGGAAATGTCAGGTTGAGGTCTTGTTTGGACTACTGCAACACTGAGTCTTTTCTTTCAACCATCCTGATATAGATTTGCTGGTGTCTTTAGCTTCAGTGTCCTTCACTGCCATGTTGCTTGACCAATTTTTGACCAATACAACAAAATAAAACTAGTACCGGTACCGAAAAAAAAGAAGATTTATTCATAACACACGTGAAAAGACCCAGGAAAACCGAGTTAACGATAAAAACGATAACAAAATAACGCTGAAAACCAATAAAAACCCTGAAAACCATACATTTCACACCTGAGCCTCAAATCTCGCGGCCCGGTAACAAACGACTCACGGACCGGTACCGGGCCGAGGCCCGGGGATTGGGGACCGCTGCTCTAGAGTACTTTGGTATACAGAGGAGTTCATGGTTGACTCAATAATGTAAAGGTGCCCAGTCCTGTGGCTGCAAAACAAGCCCTCCACCACAATCCCTGACAGCTGATATGAAGTGTTTGTGCTAATATGCTGCATTTCCTTTTTATCAAACACAGCATCATGTATTATAGCCAAATATCTCCACTTTGTTTCGATCTGTCCACAAGATGGTGTTCCAGAAGTATTACCATTACAAACATGTTCTTTTCAGAGTGACGATATTATCTCCTGGTAAGCCTTTCAAAAGAATTCATGTTTATTCAGTCTGTTTCTACTGGTATGTCATGAAGACACTGAGGCATTGTGTCATGAAGATTTGTAGCCCAGCAATTTATTAAAAGGACCTTGATGCCACCCATTTCCCAACAATAACTAAAAGCGATGTTAGGAGAGTGGTTAAATCAAATCATGAAGGACATGTGTGTGCATAAGAAGCAGATGGTTGTAACAGTGAATGGCGACAAGCTGTTTGCTTGATATGTATTTGGAGAAAGGTATTATGTTATATTCCTAAATATAATAACTCATTTTGTTTCAAACAAAATAAAAATTGCAAGAATTTATTTCGATTAACATTATGATATTGGTTCATACTGCGCCATCACATCTCACACCAAAGAAATCAAACTGGTACGGTACCTCCCTAATATTATTCTGTGATGGACAATCTCAACATCTAAAATATCTTTCTGTCAGGTACAAACAAAGCAAAAAACAACACAAATAAAAACATCAATTAACTGAAAGCAAGTGTTTTTCAGTGGACCTCTAGAGCCAAACTGATAAACACTTCTGCACTGTTTATACAGGCTGATAAAATCAGTGTTTTTGAATTATAGTATAGAAAACCATAAAAGATTTCCTAAACATACAGAGCCACACTGAATAAAAGTCAAAACAAAAATTCTGGACATTTTTCTTTCAGACAAATTGCCTTTATGCTTATGTTATTTCTCCAAACTCGTTATCTCTTTTACACTTACACACCAAAGTTTTTATCTCAGCAAAGAGCAAAACAACAAACATCTTATTTTTTTGAAAGTTGGCTCCACTGTAAAAGCAAGGCGTCGGTTTCAGAATCATCATATTGGATCCCTGATCAACATTCTGTCTGGTTTTGTTTGAAAGAGTCCTGAAATCTCTTCACATCTCTAACTCCACAAACACGGTCAACCCATCTCAAATTCAACTCAGCTTTGCTCAGATCAATGGAATCACCAACTAGGATTTCTCACAAACTTTGTACATGAAGTTATTACTAAAATCAGTACATGCTGTCAAACGTGTCCTTACTTCTTTCACTTTTTGAGCAAAAAACCTTCCAAACAACCAACAGTTTGAAAGAAAATGAAAAAAATCGGAAACATCTGCATTATCAGGGAAATGTCGAGTTTAAATAAATGCTTGAATTATTTTTTTTCACTGCTTACAAGAAGGTCAAACAAGCAAACTGAAGTGGTATTTAGAAATGAACTTTTCCCTAAAGCTGTTTTCATTCAGTTCACTTAACTTGGGAATGTTTATATCCCTGAGCATGACTTATTCAGCGATATTCCTGTCAGGTGGAAGTACCGGGGATGTTTACTTTATATCATATGAAGCAAAGAAAAAAAAAAGAAGAAAAATCTGATCTTATCTACATCCTGCTCCTAACAACACCGGCTTGTAAATATTTATTCTGGTCATATGTCAGCGATCAATTTCAGGCGAAGGTCTCTCTACATTATCGTTAGGATATTCATCAGAACCGAAGATAAACTAAACTGGAAAAGACTGAGGGAAAAGTTAAAACATGGAGAGAACAGACAAAGATTCTCAATTTTAACAAGAGCTATTTTTTTTCAACATGTAGAATGAATCAAGGGAATGGTATCCTTCTCTTATGAGCGTTACCTGATAGGAAAAAGCTACCTGGTCACTGTAGGAGCATGAGTGTCAGATATATGAAACAGCCTTCAGGCTCGTTGTGGCAGGAAATAGAATAAGTAGCATTCTCCATCGACTTCTTCTCCTCAGAGAGGTGAAGATCCTCTTCACTGCTGCTCATTCTGTCCTCTCCACCGTCTGCTTCCACTCTGCACCTCCACCAAAATTGCATCTTCAGGTCTCCCTGAGGTTAATTTGACTTTACTTTTTCCACTGCATTGTCTGATCTGTCCTGCACCCAATATCCGTGTGCTGCCATCGCATATCACATCTCACTGTGCTGTAACGGGCTACGAGCCAGGCCCCTTATCTACACCCACCCTCATCCCTCCATCCCACATGAACCCACACCCTAATTCAATAACAGCAGGAGTCAGAGATTACCGCCATGTTTAAAGAAGGCAAAATGTAATTCTGGGTCCACATTAAAGTTATTATCTTGAAAGACGAGGGGGAGAAAACAGACCGTACCAGACAGCGCTATGCATTTGGCAGGAGGCAGCGTCCTGATAGAGATAACAACAGACCCAGAAGCTTCAAGGTTTTTTTCCTCATAAGAATGCATCTTGTTGCATGGCTGGTTTTGAATTTCAGAGTGCTCATTCTTTTGAAATAAAAAAGAGCTAGACCATAACTTTGTTCTGTCCTTGCATGAAATATGAAGTAAACAAAACCGAGACCACAAAGTCAAGTACTAACTTTAGGTATGTTGCAGTTTTCTGGTTAACAATGCTCAATAAACAAGACTTTCCTTGACTTTATTGTTCAGAGACTGAGAGCGTTTGAATTTCTTACAATGTTATTTAATTGCATATTTGTTGCTATAACAGCGAGGGTCCTTTAAAGTGAACTGCAACACCTTTCTTAACTTGTTAAACATACATCTTTACTTTGTCTCATCTGGTTTCCAACCACATTTTGTATTCTCCTCCAAGAAACACTTTTCTTCAAAAACAAACAAGCAGTTCACTTAGGCAGCCTTTAGCAAGCGCCTTCCTTTCTTAACAAATTACTTCATTGATTGGAGCTTCTCTGGGGTATAAATCTGCTCACCTACCACTGAAAGGTTAGATTTGCCAGCTTACCATGACTGTAACTCAGGCTAGGTGCCATTAAAAAAAGGCACAGAGATGGTGGCAGGTACAGAGAGAGAGAGAAAACCAATGATAGAAACCTAAATTGATGAACCCAGTGCTGTCGCTCACTGCATCACAGTTTCCCCTCACAGCAGCAGAAAGATGCGTGAAAAGATAAGCTTGAGCAGCAATACAACAAGCTGTTTCCAAATGAAATGCACTTTTTCTGATTGTTCCGTATTTTCGATGCCTAGAACAGCATGCACAGCACAAAGGTGACAGGAGAGGCTCAACATGATGAAAGTTTCATTCAAATGAGGTAGTGCAGATGTTGGTGTTTTGTCAAAATGCACAGCGTGCATTGAAAAAAAGATGGTTTTACATGGTGCATCGGGCCAAAAAACATTCTTAAAATGCTGTTATGTACAAGTTAAACAAACATTCTAGCATTAAAGCGTCAATCACACACCATGAGACAACCAGAGTATGTGTCCTACTTGAATTTACCGATATCAATAGTCACTAGCTACAGAACTAATGTTAGTCTTAACAGGCTGACATTGATGCTAATAATCACTACAATATTTAATATTCCTCTCATGATTGTAAGCTAAATATAAGACTAATTTATTGCCAAAAGATAATACAGTTAGCATAAAGTATCTAATTCTCTGGAGAGAAGTGAATAAGAACATTGATTGATAAATATATACCCACTACTCGCTTTATTAGTTACACCTCGCTAATCCTTAGAAGGACCCTCTTTAGCTTTCAGTACTGCCTTAATTCTTTATGGTACAGATTCAACAAGATACAGGAAACATTCCTCTGAGATTTTGGTTCATATTGTCCAGACAGCATCACACAGTTCCTGCAGATTTATCAGCTGCACATCCATCATCTGACTCTCTTGTTCCACCACATCCCGAAGGTGCTCTATTGGACTGAGATCTGGTGACTGTGGTGTAAGGTTGGGCGACTGAACGCATATATCGACGTAGGCTGAGCCTTTTGCCGATCATTCTTACAAGAGCGATTTATTTATTTGCCCATGAGTACGTTTGCTAATTATGTTGGTTGAAGCCTGTCCATTATTATTATTATTATTATTATTATTATTATTATTATTATTATTATTATTATTATTATTATTAACATCACTCGAAGCAGCAGTCAGGGATCCACAAGAAGCAGCATTCACACCTTCATTGTGATTGAGAAGCATGCAATTCCATGTAAAGCGACAGGTTCAGTAGGAGCCCTTGATGAACTCTTTAGGGCCCATTATGTCTTTGGTACATCATACAGTTCATCCCTGACCAACTTTTTTACTTTTCTGCAAACAACTACGACATTGGGGAAATGTCATATTGCTTTCTCTAGTGAGCATCAAAGAACTGTGAATTGTAAAGGTTTGTTACGTTAATTAAATGACACTGAAATGAGAAACATAATAAATGCTGTTACTTTAACCTGTATATTTGTTGTAGGATAGATCACAGTTATTTAGTAATATAGCATCATAAGATGAATATGAAAAAATCACACTACAGAGAAATAAAAAAGAGATATTATTACACATCAGAGTGTTAATATTAAACTAAATTTGGAGTAAAAATAGCTCTATGAAGTGTAATCAAATTACTCTGAACAGTGTGAATAACCCTCAGTGTTAAATATTTTTACACATTTTGTTGTCAATTTTGACACTAAATTGAGTACAATTAACACTGAAAAGTTAACACTGGCCATAGAGTAAATTTAACTCTAATTTTGAGTGGGACCAAATGTTATCTGAAGCAGAGTTAAAATCAACTCTGTAAGTGTAAAATTGACACTTGTTTTTTTACTGTGTGGGATCAACAAGGCATTTTGGCCCAGAGAACTGCTGACAAGAAGTTGATCAGGTATACCTAATTTAATGGGCAGTAAGTGTTACTTTCTATTCTTAAATGTTCAGGTATTTACATCTTTCTGTGAGTCTGCCATGTGCGACTGTTACCATGCCACGAGAACAGTAATTTGACTGGATGTGACTTTGATGAATTACCAAAGTCTCTTATTCTTCACATTACCCAATAATGTTGCATGTAAAGAAAAAGTGCAAACTGGATATCCATCAATCACAATTTTGTGTGAAGAAGACACTCACGTGATATGAAGAGCGATGTTCTCGATCAAGAGGTTTGGTGACAAACATCTTTCCAAGCACAGGGTCGATACTGAATACTTCATTTGGTGGTTGATCTGCTCCCACCCCAGTGATGCTGTACCGGATTGAGATGTCCTGGTCCTGGTCGGAACGAATCTGCATCCCAACAAAGAAAAAGGAATGCTCAGTCAATCCCAGTTACACACTACATTTTATTAATCCCTGCAGCTTCTTTAACCTGATTGATTTTATGGCTTTATTTCTCTCTTGCATCCAGGAAGCTACACTCAAAAAACATAGTTTCCATTGGCAACCTACTTCTATATGAACAGTATTGAGTGTGAGGTGTTTATTATTCAAGGATTTATGATATACAGTTCTTTAAAAACCATCTATTGTATATTATTCACTGGAAACATGCAAGGACACACAATCAGAGAAAAAGAAACAGACACCGAGATGACATTTCATCACCCGTGGGGACATTATATTACCTCACATTAATTTCTCGTGTCTGAGACTTGGGATGATGGCAGATCTCCAATTCAATCTAAGAAGCAGTCATTGGCTATGTAACAGTCAAAGCAGGAAACATTTAAGCCCTTTGTGTTACTGCATTGACACCACAGAGGAGGCTCACATCAATTTCAACTGGATGTTGGCAGGCATTTCTTCCTATCATTGTATTAAAGATGTAGCTAAGTATAGTGGATTGAATTGTAAGGAAAGTAATAATGTTTCCATGGAGTAAGGAGCAAAGTCACAGTAACATATGCAGAATCTGTGTTAATGTGGTCTTTGACATCAAAGCAATAGTTCACATACAGAGGGTTAGTCTTTTTAGCTAAAAACAGCTGCCTGCAATATTTACAGTTATTTTTATATCATGAAAGTAAAATTGTCCACAACATATTAGGTATCATTGAATGATACTTATATTAAAGACAGAACAGAAATCAGCTGATTCTGAGGTGTCAGACTCTGCACTCACTGATATTTTATAGTATGACCCTGCCTGAAGGTTTAACCTTGCTTCTCTCCCCTTAACCACTACATTCTTAAACCTAATGCTCATCAAGCTGTGGAATATAATTTCCTCACATCATGAGTGCTATAACTATAAACACACACATATCAAAGCTTGGCATTTCTACAGTAACCTCTAGGTACTCAAGGATTCCATTAGTGCTGCCACAGGGAGTGCTGTGCATTCTGTTTGGAAGAATTTAGATTCGTCAAAAGAAGAAAAAAAATCTGAATTTCCTATTACGTAGGAAAGTGAAAGTATGACTCTGTAAGTGATGGGTAATTAGGTAACAGCAAACATAACAATAAACACATTTTGCAGAGGCCAAAATAGGCCAGAGGAAAATAAGGTGCACACTCGATGAAATGCATCTAATAACTGTGAGGCAAGGGAAGTAAAACGTTCTCTAAAAAATAGCCCTGCATTTTGGTTTAGCTTTCCTTGCCAGATAGGCAACTAATAGGTGCATTAAGTGCACTGCTAGGTCTGTGATTTGGACTGAAGAGCTGTGTAATTGGGACTCATTTGGAGGAGTTCTTCAATTCATTGTCCAAATAAAGTCCAAAACTCCAAGCAACCCATTACTGTCCATTAACGACATGGCAACCTGAAAAATCAGCTGGTGTATCAAAATTAATCAATCATACACTTTCTATGGTATGCAGGCAAACACACACACAAACACACACACATGCGTACGCGCAGGAATGGTCGACCCTTTTTCTTCTAATCATTGACTATTTCAGTGAAGAGCCTGAGTGCACCAGAAGAGGAAGACTGTCCAAAGTTGTCTCCGTCTTTCACCACTCAAGGAACCAATTTAGCTACACTTTTGACACACCAGGAATTCTGCCCTGCTGAGAAAATAGCTGAAGCAACTAACAAGGACAAGGGAAGGACACAAAGTATTAGGCAGATGTCATCCTGACTCTTACGACAGGTAGAATAAAAACCTGTCACCATTATCGAAGCTGTTATTAGAACTTTTTCCGTTCCCTTCCTCTATATCCGCATTAACATTATACTCAGCTTTCTGGTTGAAGAATCCGGTAGAGGTGTGTCTTTCTAATCAAACAAATGTGATCAGTTATAGACAGCTTCCCTCTAATGCGAGAAGCATTGTCATAACAGCCTACTAATGCTATTTGTGCATGCATGTACGTGTGTGTGCTTTCTTTAGGGAATAGGAGGAGGAGAACGTCAGAATGCTTTGCACATATCTCTATGAATTACTGCTGACAGCTATGATAATTAACGAGCTGCAGGCATTGACTGCTATTACTTCAAAGAAACTCTAGCCGTTAAACACCCACAAACTAACAAATATCCAGCTAGCAGCTTAGTTGAACTCTCAATGTACTGTCATTACCCTCTGGTACAGCCAAAGCAAAAAGACACTGCAGCACGCAGACTGCTATACCTCTCCTGTCGCATTAGAAAATACAAGCAATTATTACACATCTGACTGCCAAAGTGCTTCCTCTCTTAATTCACCCCCTTTTCTCCTCCCCTCTCCTTGTCTCTCTTTTTCTCTGCCTTCCCTTCTCCTTTTTAAGTCACTCTTTCTCATCTCCACTTCTCTTTCCTCTCATCTCTCCCCTCTGCTATACTCTCTCATCACTCTCTCTCTTTGCTTCAGGTCTCTGTGGGGACAGAAGCCATGCATGAAAAATGAAATTACTTCAATCCGTTGGCCTTGGCAGTGGTGTATAAATCCTCACCAGTTAGGAAGTGATAGCTCTCCATAATTCCATTTGGGTTTTCCACGCCCCCCTGATTTCCCACCCGTTTCCAAGTCGTCCTGCTTGGGGTGGAGACAGGGATTCAGCTGCATGTTTCCACAGTCATTCCAACCAATTAGCTTTCCCGCCCACGACGTTCACGTAGACACGTTTAAGACTGTTGAGGGATGACGCCAGAGTCCTTATCCTCATCTGTTTCTACCAAATATTTGTGCATGGTTGCATGGGCATACATTTGAGGATTCAAGCATGAACAGTTGTGTTTTCTCCACTGCTCAAACATTTTGTTTATGCCAGCTAATGATCTCAAGAAAGGTTTAGACTTGAAAATTCTTTTGCTTCCAATTTCTGGACTCCTGGCTTAGTAAAGGCCTTTTGAGGGTTACTATGCAGGCTAAGTTGATTGGTCTGCATATAATGAAGGCAATGAGTACGTGTTACCCTATTTGAGAAAAATCCACGCATTCCTAATTAATGAGACCCAAGTTAAAAAAAATGTGATTTTTCTTACAATACTAGGGCTAGCTGTAACGTCTTCAGGGATACCAAAGATTCTGCCAAGTATGTTATCATTCCCCTATTTCTATCCCAGAATATTGTGATAGGCGAGATGTCATCTAACTTGCAAACAGTTCTCACTGTCATTCTGCCATTTTACATCAGAAGAGGAGGGAATGTGTTGAAAAAAGCACGACATGAAGTGAACACAAAGAGCTTCTCATAACTGTATAAATTCTTTCTAGTTTACTTAATGAAAAGAGGAGAAACTCTTTTCTCATCTTGCTACACTTACTATCTTGTATCTCATACAGAAACACTCACGCATAAACATACAAACTCACACATCATTCAATATTAAATATTGAATGGATTTAGTTTTTGGAGTATCAATAATAATCCAAAACTGTTTTTCAGTTCATTCTTTGTCTTTTTTGTTCTTTTCCTCGGTTCTTTCCTCTGTTGTCTTGGCAGTTTGTGTTAAATGCCTACCGGTATATAAGTTTTTCTGCAAGAGAGAGACTAGTAGAGAAATTCCCAGCAAAGTGATATCGGCGAGAGAAAGAGGCAGCGACGGGGAGTGAACAAGAGAGAGAGTCATGACTGTATCATCCGGCATCAGAAACCAGACACTGTCTAAATGACCTATTTGTCGACGGATCAAAGCAATTCCCTTCATTACTGACAACATGTCTGGTTCTTAAGGAGATCTTATCAGTGAGCTTAGCTCCCTTCTGCCAGGCAAAACTGAATCAAATGAGAAATTATCATGCCACCGAGTCTTCGGGGAAAACGGAGAAGATGAAGAGAAGAGAATGATTAACACAAAAGTGCCATTCTACCACCACAGGGTGCAGATGAATGAATTCTAGCTTAAAAATTAACTATCACATTTAAAAAGTATCCAACTAGTACCATTTATGACTATATGTCACTGCACAAATACATAAGACTATTATTAATAGTGACATAGAGTATATCCGGTACCGGGCCGTGAGTCGTTTGGTACCGGGCCGCGAGAGTTGAGGCTCAGGTGTGAAATGTATGGTTTTCAGGGTTTTTATGGGTTTTCAGCGTTATTTTGTTATCGTTTTTATCGTTAACTTGGTTTTCCTGGGTCTTTTCACGTGTGTTATGATTAAATCTTCTTTTTTTCGGTACCGGTACTAGTTTATTTTGCTGTATTTATCCGCGACACATTAAAGGCCGGTCCGTGATGTCGGGCATAAACCGGTCCGTGGCGCAAAAAAAGTTGGGGACTGCTGTCCTAAAGAGTATTTGAATCCAACCACAAAAAAAAATAAAAAATTATATGATCTATACTATGCAAGATTAGGAACACAGCTTATGAAATGGATAGCTCAGTTAGTCGGAATGATAACTATACATACAGTGGGGCAAAAAAGTATTTAGTCAGCCACCGATTGTGCAAGTTCCCCCACTTAAAATGATGACAGAGGTCAGTAATTTGCACCAGAGGTACACTTCAACTGTGAGAGACAGAATGTGAAAAAAAAATCCATGAATCCACATGGTAGGATTTGTAAAGAATTTATTCGTAAATCAGGGTGGAAAATAAGTATTTGGTCACCTCAAACAAGGAAAATCTCTGGCTCTCACAGACCTGTAACGTCTTCTGTAAGAAGCTTTTCTGTCCCCCACTCGTTACCTGTATGAATGGCACCTGTTTGAACTCATCATCTGTATAAAAGACACCTGTCCACAGCCTCAAACAGTCAGACTCCAAACTCCGCCATGGCCAAGACCAAAGAGCTTTCGAAGGACACCAGGAAAAGTATTGTAGACCTGCACCAGACTGGGAAGAGTGAATCTACAATAGGCAAGCAGCTTGGTGTGAAAAAATCAACTGTGGGAGCAATCATCAGAAA